CATTGTCAGCTATAAGCCAATCTTACAGAAATAGAGGAAAATAAAATCTTTAATCAATCCATTAAACTAATTTTCAATAAATGTTTCAAGTTCCATCTGATTATCTAACACCTATGCCAAATGATGATATTTGCAGAGGTAAACAGTATAAACAAATTTACACTGAATTTTTTGCTTATCTGATTAGGATTATGCTGATATGTGTAGTCACCACATTGATAATTCTCCCAGAACCTTTGGCAAACAATCCTTCTGTTGACATTATATTGCACCTTGGACATTAAAAGCTGGTAGGTTCAATTTGAGCAGCCTCTCTTGCTTTGACCTAATTTGCTAAAGAGATTTGCAAGGCAGGAAGTACTTGGTCCTATTTGCCAAGGCAAAGAAGCAATGCAATTTGGTTCACTGAAGCTCTTCATATTGCCCTGAAACCTCTATATGTCACTTGCCAAAATTTTTGGCTTCTCATAAATGCTTGCCAAAATTGGAGTAAGGGTATTGAAAGATATGAAAGGCTCATCCTGCTTCAGGAAATTCACAAAGCTTGACCATATTGAATAGTTCCCAGTATGAACTATTCTTACCAAGTAGCTATACCAACTCTCCTGGTACTCCATACCCCTAAAAAAAAAAAAAATCCTGCACAACAGAGGTAATAAATCTATACAACTCCAGAATAGCCAATCAGTTTTGATTCTTCTGAATCTACTCCAGAAGTCAAACTTTGCCAATGTGCCTGTCCAGGCTGGCACTGTACTGAGGTCAGTATTGAAGCATCTCTCATCAGTTCCTGGTTGCTTCCTGCTCTGATTGTGAAGTTCTGTGCAAACAGTGAGGAAAACTGAATTGAATGCAATGGAATGTGTTCAGCAATTCCATTAGACAATGTGTATTTCCTTCTCATGTAGATTGAAATGACATCTAGTAATGTAAGATGAACACAATCATTTAATACCCTAACAAAAAATTGCAGAGCCTAACAACAACAAAAAAAAACTAACTAACAGAAAGATGGATTAACAAGTTTATCCTCTGTAGGTCTGTGCCATTAATAATGATGTTTAATTAATCTTCAAAAAATCAATGTTGCAAAAAATAATTGAGCCCTAAGAAATGGCTAATAAAAATTGGCTTTGGCAAACTTCTAAGCAAAAAGAAGATATTTTCAGTAACCCAATTTTATATTGCTAAACTCACAATCCTTTTACTAAATTTCTTTGGGATTGAAATAGGAAATATAAAGCCAGACATGTGGCTGGGATTAAGTTTTTGCTGATATAAGATAGATAGATAGATAGATGGATTGATGAATAGATGGATGATAGGTAGACAGATGACACAAGAAGTAGATGATGATAGATAGATAGATATAGAAAAGAAAGAAAGAAATAGAAAGACAGACAGGGAGACAGAAAGAAAGAAAGAGAAAGAAAGAAAGAAGAAAGAGAGAAAGAAAGAAAGAAAAAGAAAGAAAGAAAAAGAAAATGAGTCGATATGCTACTTTCTTTTTTCTTTCTATTTTCTTCCCCTCGGTTCTCTTTTATTAAAGAAATAGATACATTTTTTATAAAAAAAATTCTTACAATATCTAAAAGTCAATTGATTGAAAACACTAGAAATGGAATACAAGTAGTCCTGGACTTATAACCACAACTGAGCCCAAAATATCTGCTGTTAAGTGAGATATTTGTTAAGTGAGTTTTGCCCCATTTTATGACCTTTGACTCAGTTGTTAAGTGAATCACTGCAGTTGATAAATTAGCAATTTGGTTGTCAAGTAAATCTGGCTTCCCCATTGACTTTGCTTGACAGAAAGTCGCAAAAGATGATCACATGACTTGGGAACACAGCAACTGTCATAAATATGAACCAGTTGCCCAGCTTCTGAATTTTGATCATAAAATCATGGAGATGCTGCAAAGGTTGTAACTGTGAAAAATGGTCATGTCACTTTTTTCAATGCCGTTATAATTTTGAACAGTCACTAAATGAACTGTTGTAAGTCGAGGACCACCTGTCTAGGGTTTTATATATTAAATGTTGACCTCCGTTTTGCTTAGATCTGTATTTCAAATGCACAGTTATGGAAATCACTCTAATTTTGGTCTGCATCAGGATAGTGTGCAAAATATTAGCCAATTTCACCAAAATATATTTTGAAAGAAAGCTTTGATAATTTTAAAAGTGAAATTATATTCCTCAAGATAACAGAGACCTGTTTTTTAGTCTTGCCTAAATATCTAAAATAATGCCTAATAGCCATTATTTAAATTTTTAAAAACAGTTTCTCAGACAACTTGAAATATCTTGGAATGACATAGGCAAGTCATAAAATGGTAAGCCATCATGTAAGTTGGCAAAGGAAACCTTATTTAAGAAGCGTTCGTTTACTTTTTGACAGTTATCTACTTGTATTATATTTTAAAAAATAAAGATTTATTTTAGAAGGAAACAAAATATAAGCAAAATACCAAGATACACCAAAATAACAAAATTATATGAAACATCCCTTAAGAGGAGATAAAAAAAAAGAAGAAATACAGTTTAATATAAATAAACAAAACAAAACTACTTTATCCCAAAGATGCTTTTTCAAGAAGCAACCGGACTTTCGGGGTTTTCTTTGAAGTTTTGCTTTTCATCCAAGAAATTTCTTCAGCTCTGACTGGACGGTGGGGAATGGATTGATTTAAAGTCCTTTAAGACAACATTCTATACATTGGAGAAATATCAGAAAAGCTCAAGAGGATGTTCAGCCAACACAACATACGTGCACACTTTAAACCCAATAATACACTATGGCAGAAGCTTGTCCACCCCAAGGATAAAACACCCAGACACAAACTGAGCTACATGCAGAGGTAAGCTGCGAACCAGTAGTTAAGATTCTGTGCAGTTCGGCAAACTGGTAAATCCCACCATTGACTGGCCCCTGCTCGTTTTTTAGCCTGTTTTCCAGACCAAAAATGGCCTGAAAAACGGCCTGAAAAACAGCCAGAAAACAGCCTGAAAAAGGCCTGGTTTTTTGCCATTTTTTGGGTCATTTTTGGCCATGAAAATGGCCCGAAAAACAGCCCAAAAAAAAACGGCCAAAAAGGGGTGGGGCCAGCCAGCAGTGGGATTAGCCCCAACTGGCTGAATCCTATCTTTGCCTTTGAGGCAAATGGCCAGGAGGCGGGGCTGGGTGTAATGAGTGAAGTCATCCCCCCAGTCACATGACCAACTGGCCACTCCTACCAACCCAAAGAACCAGTTGTTAAGTTATTCAAGTTCAATCACAGCCAACTATAGACTATCAATTTAAATGAACTTTCATTTAATATTTGTATTGGCTGTTGGGATTTTCTGCAAGTGTCAACATATTCTTTCACACTTGTTTAGTTTGGCTAAAAATGCCGTTTTTTCATAGTCTAGAACACTTCTTAATATCCACTGAACACCCTGGATTTACTCCATGTCCTTAACTAATAATAGTTATATTATTATTCACAATATAGGCACAGTAATGTTTTTTCAAAAGCTGTTCCTTTATATAAGAAGGCAATTGATAGCTCATTATAATTTAACTCTATGGAAGTATATGTTTTTTCAAATTAAATCCTAAGTATTAAATGTGCCATGACTAAGTTTTTAGTTATATAATCTAGTGTTCCAATGGCCTAGTCTGGCTAGTAAAATGTGTGAATAAATATAAAAGAATATATCAAACATGTTTGTTGTACTTATTCCAGTAAAACCAAACAACTTTTTATCACTGTATGTCTGGTATTATGTATTAATGGCATTGTGTTGGATTAGATATTCCTTTCTGTCTTTTACAAAAAACATATTTTCAGCTCAAACAATTACAAACTTTTTTTTCAGTAAGCAAAATATTTTAGGCATAGAAAACATTGTAATAAATACAAAGTTTCCATATGTTGTGAGAGAAATAGTGCTCTATACAACCACACATTCTTCTCGTGAAACAAACTTTCTGCATAGTAAAATCATTGACCTTTAACTAGAGCCTATTTTATTGTCCCACAGAGTAACAGTTGATTCTGGTATAGATATTCTTCATAGTGTGCTTCATGTAACAACAATTCAGAATTATGACAGTGATGGAAATATATCTTCGTGACTAATCCTTGCATTTATGACCTTTACATTTCTGTAAAGCAAGGGAAAGCTGAAGTAAGACTTTAAGGACAGTTGTGATTTCACTTAGTGATAACTTCATTTAGAAACCAGCTTGCTGGTCTCAACTGTGGTCAGTAAACAAGGCCTACCTGTATTTCATAACACAATTCAAAAACTGATCTGTTGGATTAAATGTTCATGCTTCAAGTTGACTCAGCCTTCCATCCTTCCAAGGTCAGTAAAATGAGTCTAAGTGCTATTGCTATTTAATATTGGATACAAAAGTCAGAAATCATGCAAATAAATTTTGAGGGTCCAAAAAAGATAAAAATGTATATCTGGGACAATTTATAAAAGAGACATATTTAGGAAGTAAGAAAACCCCCCTTCACCCAAACCCCCCAAAAGCCATTAAGTGAGGGAAAAAGTAACATTAATAGAGGGAGTTCAAATGGCAGCACAAGAAATGTACATTTCTTTGAAATAAATAACTCTTGGTTGCTAATTGTTTTGAGCATTTTTTTAAAAATGGAAAGTTGAAAAAAGAATAATGATATTCTTTTCATACTCATCCTTTACCTAACCTCCACCAGTAAAAAATAAATGTAGATCAAGAATGTTTTTGACAGTGCTGGAACATAGAATATCAGATGTATCACAGTCTCTCAGCCCTATCTACCTCACAGGATTGTTGTTCTAATGAAAAATGGGAGAGAGATCAGTATGTATGCTGCCTCCTGTGCCTGTAAAAAAGGAAAGATATAAATCTAATGTACTGCAAGCAAAGAAGAATTCAGGAAAAGGTCTAAAATCCCATTTGGCATAAAAGAATCTCAGGTTTGAATAACTGAATAATATTTAAAATAAAAGACTGCAAATTAATTTACAAAATGTATTTATTAAAGTAGCAAACATAAAGGTAAGTGTATAGGCTTTGTATATCTAATTGAAGACTGAGGTTTCATTTGGCATATATTGAAAGCAAATTGTTCAGTTTCTCTTTCAGCTTTACCCATTTCACAAATCACCTACAGTAGCAGTAACATCCACTTAATTTTAGTATGATATAGAAAGTCAAAAACAATAGCTATAAAAATAGTTCCTCTTTCCTATATGTTTATAAGACAAATAGCATTCTTTGGAATGAAGATTTATAATAAACATACCCAAAATTTAGCAGTTTCTAAAAGCATATCAGCAAATTTTCTGTATTTACTTTTAGCTCTTAGTCTGTCCAAATCAATCTATTTTACAGCAGCAATTTTACTTGCTACAATTACTGCAGTATTAAGCAGTGTACAATTTTTAAAAAGCTGTTCCTTTAGCAAAATTCTAGTAAATTTTGTAGACTCAAAAAACATCCAAAATAATTGAAGATCCAAGTATTATTGTATTACAATCGATTTATACTAGTGTTTTCTGGTTTCTTTCTTTCTTTCTCTCTCTCCCTTCCTTTCTTTGTCTCTCCCTTTTTTCTTTCTCTTCTTCATTTCAAAGACTTCCATTCTAACTATCCAAACAGAAATTGAATGAATAAGTTTTCTGCCAAGTAGATGTGTGAAGTTGAATGTTGGACTAAAAGCTATTGTAAGAATTAGAGATCTGCAGAAGCAACTTCATGGAAACATGAGTTTTAAGAGAGGGATACTTTCCATTGTATGTTTCATTCAGTATTTAAAAATTATGCTAAATATGAGGAAGATTATTATCAAAGAACATGTTCCACTTTTCTCCTGAAATGGCAGAAAAAGCAGAATCTCTTCATCACTTTTAATCCTACGTTAAGTTGGTTTTGCAGATCTTTTTGGAAACATATGTTCAGCTTCGGAATCCTTCTTTTCACAAACTTCTAGCATATTTCACTTATATTCTCTAAAATGTAGACCCCTGCATCAAAATGATGATTGTACAGTCACAGAATAAATATACATATTTATTCAGAATATACACACACAAACACACACACATATACATATACATACACATACACATACACATACATACACGCATGGGCACACACGCACAGAATTTATGCAATTGCTTGGATTACTTTCTTACATAGCTAAAAAATTTCTACCTTTTTAAAAGCAAGTGATATTAATTATGGAACTGGGAGACAGAGCAAAAATAAATCCAATTACAAAATTACTGGTGAATGTTCTTCCCTCTTGAAATGATGCAAATGGTTTGGAATAGCAACATAAATCTGATAAGAAGTTCTCAGAGGCCCGATAATCTGAGTATCAGCTGCTTTGATTATGTCTTTCACCTCCAGCATTTCATGGACCAGTATATTTATAGAAAGATTCCAGCTAGAATGCCAAGAGAAAATAAGTGCATTTGTTGAGTGACAGGACATCACATTTGCAGTCCACTTATCATTATTCAATCTAGTTGTGCTATCGCTATTAGGTTAATGTAGGAGATGACCAGGCTGAGCCTGAGGGAGGGGTCAAATGTGTCACCAGTCATGAGTCCATTCACGCCCACAAGAGATCTAAGTCCAGCCCATCTTGAATTCCGTTGACTTTTATCTACCGCCAATTTTCCTTCATTATTAGTAGTTCAGATTCATGTAGAGAGCATTAGCATACAATAAACATACATTCATTTCAACTGCCTGGACTCCTGATTTCCTGCATTTGTTATTTAGGCTGAGAATAAAGCCAGGACCATGGGCTCTAGTCAATTGCAAATCAAAAGAAGGACCAGACTCCTTGTTTTCCCTCAGCCATTTAATAGTAGCTATAAGCCTCTAAATAGTCACTTCAGTGGATTGGGGGGGGGCGGTTTAGGAAACTAGCTCTTGAGAAAAATAATTCACTAATTAGCAAAACTTACATGTATTTCAATCATGGAAGGCTCGGTAGTTAAAAAACTCAGTCCTCCTTTTGATGTCATAGGTCCCAGACTTGTGTTTGTATCGGCAGACTAAAAGTCCTGCTATTCCCAGTGCGAGAACAAGTACGCCAATAACAATGAGGACGATATAGCCTACTCTCATACCAGTTTTTTTCTCTTCCTTTAATCCAGCTGAAGCAAAAGAAATTGAAAAAAATTACCATTGCTATAAATTGAATGCTATTATATAAAATTTGATCAGATCATTATAATACTGCCTCACTGCAGGAGTGCAATCATATGCATGGAAATAAACTCATTACAAAGGATTTACTGTAATCTGTACAGTTTAGATAACTGTAGTTTATTTGTAATTTAGAATGATAAATGACACAGAGAAAATTGCAGTCTTAATAAATCTCATATTTTAGAAATAATCTATTTTCTTCTTGTTATGGTCAACAAAGCTGTATTTGTCAAGCTATAAAAAAACCCAAACAATTACAAAGTACATTATGAGGTGTTTTATGTCAAGTTAGACTAGCTTTGAAAGCCAGTTTGATGTAGTGGCTAAGGTATTACATAGACACCAGGAGACCATGAGTCTAGTCCTGTTTAGGCATAAAGTCTTCTGACCTTGGACTAGTCATTTTCTCTCAGCCTTAGGATAGAGGAAATGGAAAACTACTTCTGAAAAACTGCAGGGACTTGTCCAGGCAGTTTCTGAGAATCAGACACAATGGAATGGAATGGAATGGAATGGAATGGAATGGAATGGAATGGAAAGGAAAGGAAAGGAATGGAAAGGAAAGGAAAGGAAAGGAAAGGAAAGGAAAGGAAAGGAAAGGAAAGGAAAGGAAAGAAGGAAAGGAAAGGAAAGGAAAAACCTAGCTACAAATAATTCCAGGGTAGTTTATTTTGATTGGCAAGAGCTCCCCTAGTTGCTAGGGGAAAGGAGATTTATTTATTTTATTCTACCACTCACGATACCAGAGATTGCCTATGTGGTGTTCTCCATGAATCTCATCTTCACTGCTAGAGTGATTCCAGTTTTTCTTTTGTATGTGTTCTGTATTTTGAAATGAGCTGCTGCTACTGCTGCTAAGAGAGCTAAAATGGACAGAGCCTCCCAGCAGAAAAACAAGAAAAGAAACTGTAACTTTAACCCTGAGATTGATAGAGGACAGGTAGCATCATGAGAGGTTGACTGTGGTGGGTGCCTAGAAGTAAAATATTCCCTACATACGATTATCTCTCTGTAGGATGTTGAAGAAGAATATGACTACCGTATTTTGCTGTATTTCGATATATGCTTATTGTTGAAGCTGTATTCAGTTCTGCCATGATTTTAGATAGCAGAAAAATGAAAGAGCATTCATTAAGGACAGTGTAGCACACCGGGCAACTTAACAGCAGCTATATACTACTAAAACTCTTGTTTGTCTGTGTGTAACCTTTAACTGGTTGAAATGGTGCAGCACAGGGCAATCATTTTTCAACCAGGGTATTTCAAATGGGCTAACTCAGTGGTGGGATTCAGCCAGTTCGCACCACTTCGGGAGAACCGGTTGTTAACTTTCTGAGCAGTTTGGCAAACTGGTTGTTGGAAGAAATCATTAGGGCAGAGAACCAGTTGTTAAATTACTTGAATCCCACCACTGGGCTAACTTCAGAATACATCCAGAATCCAGAATTGAAAATTCCCATAGAATTGACACTTGGCAAATTTTATAAAGAGCTTTACAATATAAAAGTGATTGTAAACATTTTATGACATAATAATACAAAGTGTCATAAAACATTTTTTTGTGGTCAACTCCTGATGTTTGGCTGTGCTATACAGTACAACACAGGTTATTTTCAAAGCAGATACATCTCTGAATATCTCCCTGAATTTTTAACAAGTTTTCCAGTGAAACAATACATTGATTTTAAGAGCTTTTCCAGGGAAGCAATACAATGAAGCTCTACCATTGTTGAAGGCATTGAGGAACCTGGTAAGGAAATATCTGTGAAATGATGATCCAATGTCACAGGTTGTCCAATTGTAGCTATGAATTCTACTAGATGACTCTCATCAGAGAGCTTGGGCAAGGAGAAAGTGATGTTCTTGTGTTATTAGTATCAGACCTCACTTGGTGATGTGTGCCCTCCACCCCAGATTTGGGATTAGGGAAGAAATTCATTTAGTCCACATTCAAATGCACATTTATTTACTTTCACATTTTTAGCCAACACATCAAATGAAACAGTAAATATTTAAAATTTATAGTTTAAATTTTACAATGCACCTCATCAGTAACAACAGACATAAATCCTAGGCAGAAATCTGGACTAAAAGACTTACATACATAAAAATTATGTTTAAAAAATCAGCATGGAAAATAATTTACAAAAACTGCACATACACAAAATCATAAAGAAAATTGACAGTTCTGAGAAATGTGCAAGATATTTAAACATTTTAATGGAAACTTTTAGAGTAATTATTATATTCAACTAACCAAATGTAACACATTTGAAGAAATGGAAACAAACCAAATTACCCGTATCCCAAACATAATGCATTCCCAATGATGAGGCATTAAGAAGAACTAAGGTGGTCAGATTTGCCCATTCCCATGCTAAGCTTTGTAGTAGAAAGGTTCTGGCTTCTCTTGGTTGGCTCCATGTACGGTTCCACTCACAGGGTGTCCATTTTCAATAATTCTGCACTCTCAACGTTAAATTGTTTACCTGGTGACTTCATACTGAAGCCCTGACTTACCTAGTGGTTTACCACTGAATTTACGAAGAGGACCCCAGGTTGCTTTGGGTGTAGCAATAATTTCACCTGATTTCCAAAAGCGGAAACCCTCACAATTCTGCAAGAATGAAATATATTTATGAAATCATTTTTTTTAGAATAAATGTGCTGTACGTTATGACTACTAAATAATAAACTTCTTAGAGATCCTTTAAAAACACTATTGCCATATAGTCAGATCACATATATAAGTCAAGTTATCAAGTTATAACTGAGAAGGCACTCTTAGATAGAATTTGGGGGGTCTAGTGTATCATAGGATATAGTAACTCCAACTGAGGTGACTTACATCTCTGAGACATCCTGTGCTTCCTTACATCAAAAGGAATAATATTCATGATCCTTTTCTACCTATAAATCTCCTTGCAGTCACAGACTTAGGATACAACCAAAAATGCTAAATTTCTCTATACCTACTATATATTCCCATAGAAGTCAGTAAATTCTAAAAACCACAGCCCTCTGTTTGCTTCAGTGACAGTATTCAAAGTACTTATAGCACTTTTAGCATTTTAAAACATTTATACGTAAATTTGTTTCTTATTTCAAATCTTATACGTAAGATTTGTTACTGAACAGAATTTCTGTGTTGCTGAGCGGAATTTCTGTTGGAGATGGAAGCTTATTTACATTAGAATCTTAAGATGATCTTATTGTAAGATCATTTAAGATTCTGTTGTAGATACGCACCAAAATGGAAATAAAAGCAAATAACATACAACATACACAGCACTTAATATTCTTTTTGATAACTGTTGCATTTCCAGTTTTTGTTGAAGAAAATTACAGATTAAGTTTATCTCTGAGCTCTATACTATTTTGTTTTCATTGCTGAAGTACCATATTCTGGGAAGAGATAAAACAATAGTTCTGTTTCTTTTAAAATCATTTTGTTTTCCAACTGAGCAAGACTCCTTACCGTTCTGCAGGTGCTTTTAGGCATTTCAACACAAATTTTGATTTTGCAATGTAAGTAAACCACTGAACCATTGACAAATGAAAAGATTTTCAGTTTAAATCGGGCTCGGTTGGATATCCCATTTGCAATCATTTTAGTATTTGTATTTGGAACTGGACAACTGAAAAAGAAAGCTCAATTAAACATTTAAAGAAGCATAGAATTTGATCTATATGGATTTACAGTTCTATTTATAATCAGACAAAAATGTGGTAATTTTCCAAAAAGAGAGTATCAAAGTATTGCTGTTCCATTTGCAGCTATTAAATGGCTGATAGTTCTAGTAATGATAGTAAAATATTTCACTAGTCTATAAATCTCTTCTCTTTCATAGAGATTTGATGACATCTAGGAGGGATATGCATCAACAAATTCAAATAAGTAAGTAAGTAAGTAAGTAAGTAAGTAAGTAAGTTAAATAGTAGCTTCATAATATTCTTTGAGCATACTTCACAATGTATACAATTGCCCGCTGGAGACTGAAGCCATTATTCTTCCTCCCCTTCTTATTGCAGAAGTAACCAACAAGCAGCTCCCCAAGTTGAGGTACTTCAACTCAGGCATTCAGCCATTGGCCATCTGTCATCTGTTTCCTGACAGGTACTCTCCTCCACCAACACATATAGAAAATTCCTTTGCTGCTACCTCTGCCAACTTCTCACAACAGTGAAGTTTATAAAAGCAAACCTGGCCACTGGTATAACATATACCTCCATTTAATTCACTGAAAGTCTGCAGACATGTATGTTAGAAAGAGGAATGGTTTTTCTCATCTATTTTCATTTCATTCCTACCCTAGCCCTACTTCTTCATGTCTTCGATTTGATTGCTAAAATTATCTATGTGGAATGATGGAACAGCTCAAGCACTAAAGCCAGAAACCAAAAATTCAGAATGCATTTATTCTGAAATGTTTCCCCATTTTATAAATATTATCTAAATAATTTCCATAACCAAGTAGATGAATATAATTAAAACAAATACCTAAGCAGCTAAGAGGCTAAAGCCAAGAAATAATAGCTTGTATTAACTAATAAACTGAAATGTAACCATTACAAAAAAGAGTAGATTTACATTGCTGGTGTTTCAACTTTATAAAAGCTGATATCATTCTATAAATTTTTGTGTTTATTATTCACAAGGTTTGTAATAACATCTTAATACATTGTGTATACTGTACCCGCCATGTATAAAATGAAATGCATGAGGATCCATTGAGTTATTGGTTGGGGTTGCCCAACATTGGCCAACAACCACCCTGAGTTTCTTGCTTCTTGTTTGAACTCCCACCTCAATCATTACATTATCGCTGCCAGAGATGCTGAAATTTGGCGGAATTGGAGAATTGCCAATCAACAATCGGATTTCTGTTAAGAAGTGTCCAGATCCATGTAAATCTTCAAAAATGGTATAAATTCTGAAAGGCAAGGAGCCATTGTTAACATTGGTAGACTAGTTTTGTAAACTATGTCCTGTGTCTGCACAGTAACAGCATTATTTTCACAAAAGAATAAAGTGGCTCCTTGTTCAGTTTTCAGCCAAGGAAATAGAAAGGATACCACTTTTTACTTGTGCAATATCTAGAAAAAAAATTAAACAGTTGCATAAATATTAAGAGTGTGAATAATTAAAATCAAAGATTGTTAGAATTTGATTACTATATCAGTGTCAACAAATTAAAAGCTTTTCGTTTTTTAAAATTCTATTTCACATTACTTTATTAGGACTATCTTATACTATTTTTACTCCTTTCTATAGGGAAATTTTTTAGAAAGACATAATTTGACTGCAAATATTCATAAAACCTGAAATATTTCATGTAAGTAAAGTTTACTCTGTCTTGCAAATAGCAATAGCAATAGCACTTAGATTTATATACCGCTTCATAGTGCTTTATAACCCTCTCTAAGTGGTTTACAGAGTCAGCATATTACTCCCAACAATCTGAGTCCTATTTTACTGACCTTGGAAGAATGGAAGGCTGAGTCAGCCTTGAGCCTGGTGAGACTCAAATGACTGAACTGCTGGCAGTCGGCACATGGCAGTAAGCAGAATTAGCCTGTGGTACTGCATTCTAATTACTGTGCCACCATGGCTCTTTTAGTAATTGGAAATATAACCCTAAGCCTATAATTGCTCCCTATTGCTACTTCCAGACATTAAATGTAAGTAGTACATGAAAAGATAAAAATTGTAGTTGAGTTACCTGTATTTGGATACAGTGTCTAAAAGGAAGGTCAGCTCTGAATATCCCCCTCTCTTTTGCAGAAATTATCCTTTAAATTCTGTATTTTGGACTTCTGCAACAATTATTTGATGTCTAAAATAATGTAGTTGGTTCTTATCTCCTAAGAAGTTACTTACCCTTCTGAAGTATATCCAGATGAAGTTAAGAGATCGTTCTGAAAGATGCAGTGAATTTGACTTGAAATCTTTAAGTGGTGGATAATCCCATGGGAAGAATAATCATTGCGAAGAACAGTTCTTGCAATGGTGTGTGTGGTATTCTGTAAAAAAAATGCAACAGAGAAAGATATATTGAATTTGTATTTTTTTTTTTTTTTAGTTTAAAAGATAGCAAACAGGAGTGGGAAAAAGTAGATACGTGTAGGCTGGGCTATAAAGTAAGTAAAACAGTAAAATGAAGAACCATGCACGACCTGCTGATTATATAAGGATTGTATTCTATTCATTTAGTTGATCTATTCATAATTAGTTTATTTCAACTGAGGAATCTAATATGTAGAAGATCCCTGGAAAAAACAAGAATTACATTACAGTAACAGAAAAGCATGAGAAATACATTTCAGAAACAATTTGTTTAAACTGTGAATCAGCGCCCCAAATCCTGCCCTGCCATGTGGTCTTTATGGATAGCACCTGCATAATTTATCGTTATTATCATCTTTTTTTCTAAGAAAAAACCTTATTAAGAAAGTGGAATGACATGTAATACTGTATTCAGCATTAATAATTCTAAAAACCTTATATTAATTATTCCAATTTACCTCTTCTTAATGTTTGATTAGAATTGATTTAATTTACTCTCGAGTAAAAGACTTACAGTTTGTATTTCAGTTTCACATTCGTTCCAATCTGTCTGAAGTACCACGTGACTAGAATTACTGGAGGTTACGTTGCAGCGTGGATTCCCTAGGTACAAGGAAGTTTCTGGGATAGATTTCTGGTGCAGAAAGTCCTTCTTAATGGAGATGACAATTTTTTCAAACTCACAGAGTACTTGAACTGCCTCCTTAATTGAACCAGCAGCAGAATTGTTAATCAAGGACAACTTCTGAGATAAATCATAAATGTTTGTTGTTTGATTTATATTTTTCTTATTAATTGTAGTGTTGGCAGTTGCATTCTCCAAGCTTCTGCCACTACTAATAGAAAAGTTATCCTTGGCAGATGAAGGCATGGGGTCTGAAGTATATGGATAGGTCAAGGGTAAAGCTGTGCTGCTCCATTCCTTTGGCCGTTCATCTCCAGAACTAAGGCTGGAAGAAAGTACTATAAAGTAGGGAAAAGATATTGAAAATTGCATTATACAACTCATTTTTCCCGCACAAAGAATTACAGTAAATTTTGAGATCTATCCTTCGAGAAGCCTTCCCATTTGGAAATCATTTGTATGCACTCCAAAACCACCCCTTCCCTCCTCTACTTTGCCCTTCCTATCTGCATAGCATTTTCAGCAGGCTTGTAGGTTTGGAGCTCACAGAGTGCATATTCAGCCAACTATTGCCCAGCCTGAGCTAACTGAACACAGAGAATGCCAGCCAATGGATGCTCACTGTCTCAGCTTCAAACTTGCCCAATCTGTAAATTAACAAAACACTGTCTTCTTTCATAAAATAATTTTCTTTTCCCAATCCCCCAATTTATTCAGAGTTCATGCATTTAGAAACATGTGTTTACATTTGTATGTTGGTCTACAAAATAACGGGAGCTTTACTGACAACTGTAAAAGAATCTTCATCTCTCAATGATGTCAGATCAACCTTGCAAGTGAAATCTGGTTTTCTAGCAAATTTTGAGAATGTTACATAACTGTAAACTTTCATGCTGCATTTATGAGAGGTCCTTCCCAAGGTGGACAGAATAAAATTTGAAGTGAGGCAGATAAAGCACCCTACCCAACGAGAAAAAGAAATCACTTGAAATAGCAATAGACTTAGATTTATATGCTGCTTCAAAGTGCTTTACAGCCCTTTCTAAGTGGTTAACAGAGTCAGCATGTTTCCCCCAACAATCTGGGTCCTCATTTTACTGACCTCAGAAAGATGGACGGCTGAGTCAACCTTGAGCCGGTGAGAATCAAACTATTGAACTGCTGGCAGCAGGCAGTCAGCAGAACTAGCCTGCAGTACTGCATCCTAACCACTGTGCCACCACGGTTCTTATACCCAATCATTTCACTGGGATGTTTTTTACATGTTTCTAAAGTATTATTTTAATTACTTGAAAGGGATGAAGAAGTACAGTTTTTTTTAAAAAAAAATAAATCTATTCGAGCTTCATTCAAGGAGGATACTTAATCAGCATTTTATATTATAGCAGTAAGATGTCTAATATTTTATCATTTACCATTTAATTACTTCGGTAGCATTGTTATAATGTTAGAAACTCTGCAGATCATTCTTGAAAAAGACTGCTGACTCTATTAATTCATATAATGACATGTACCTTAGGTTTATGTTTGCTTACAGTTTTCTTTGATAAAGGAATGAGTTGAACCCCTTCCAGGTTGGGAATAAATACAAGCATCCAATACAACCTCTGCTTTTTTAATTTGTTTCTTGTTGTGAAAAGAATCAGGACACAGGCCTAGTTTTGCTCAGCAGGCCAGCCCATCAAAACTCAGACAAAGCCTAACCTCCCCCTTCCCCCTCTTCTTCCTCCTCAAGAGCAACTGGGATCCTGTTTTAATGAAGGAAAGATTGGCTAGAAGATGGACTTACCATCCATCTGCAGCCCCCTCAACACTATTCAGTTCCTATGTCAGTTTTATCAAAGTACCAATGTAAAAGAATTTTTAGCTTTACCATCATCTCAAAAAGTTTCCTTTATCAGTCAGCTACAACAGCCTTTTATTTTCCTGGGAAGGAGGATGACACTAAAGAAGAGTGCATCAGTCTCTAACCCAGCCTTCCCCAGTCTTAATCTGATGTGTGGATTTCAAGTTCTAGGATTCTCAGTAATAGCTTTTGTGGGTGGCATCCAATGTCTCCCAATGCCACCCACAATTTTTCTTCCCAAGAAGAGCCATATCAGGTTTAAAAGTAGCCTTAGTGATCAGTAGTGGAGGAGTACTTAAAGTAAAGTCAATACTTCATTAGAAAAGATTTGTGGCTACCTCAATATTGATAGGCAAATCAAGTTGAGGAAACTACAGGTGTTAGAATGGCCTTTTGCAGGGACAGGTTCAGATGACTGGACCTTGCCCACTCCATGAACAAGAGCTTCCGAGAGTGTATGTAATCCTTTGCACGGGGACCACAAGTTTGAAGTAACAATTCCATGGCAATAAGAATAGCAGAGTTGGAAAAAAATGAAAATAAATATTGAAACCTTGCCTTCACAGTTTCTCCCAGGTCTCTCAGCATTTACACTGACAAATCCTTCTTTGCATTTGCATTCATAAGACCCATAAATATTGTAGCAGGATGCATTAGGAGAACAATCTGTTTCCTCTCTCTCACATTCATTGTTATCTGTTTTTTAAAAAATATAATAAAAGAGAGCAGTAAGACATGAGTTTGTGATTATTATTTAGCATGCTGGAATACTTTTGATATTTCTATACTTAAAATGTCAGTACTTTTGTTCTTTTGAATGAACATCATTTTAATACCACACTACTTACTACAATTCATGATTAACTCACAAACTCCATGAGAAGTAAATACTGTATGCAAATATAATGACTGAAGTAAACATAATTAGAATATCATTTTGGAATTCCACTGCCCTTGGAGAATATTGGTCTGAGTTTTAACTGCTTATGAAATTAATCTATGAAAGTAAAAGAAACTATTATTTACCGTATATGGAAAGACTGCTATTATCAACCTCGAAAAGGATGCTGTTTCGAAAAGCTTCAAGAAGAGACCCAGAAACATTCCTTGCATCCATGTCTATTGGAATCAGGAGGCTGAAGTTGACCACAATGCTTCCTGGGGTAATACTTACTATTGAAATATTAATCATACCAGCATCCATTTTTTGAACAATATAAGGAGGCAAAGATGTTCGGACCTGTTACCAAAACAGAGTCATGAATTTGTGTATGTATTTGTTCTGAGAATTATTTTGATTGCATGATTTGAAGGATGACATACAGATTTTTTAAAAATTATTTGTTTGTTTGTTTCCCACTTTTATATTTATGCAAATAACTCAAGGTGGCAAACATATCCACACACCTGCCTCCTCCTATTTTCCCCACAACAACAGCCTTGTGAGGTGAGTTGGGCTAAGAGAGTGCCTAGCCAAAGATCACCCAGCTGGCTTTCATGCCTAAGTAGAACTAGAACTCACAGTTTCCTACTTTCTAGTCTGGTGCCTTAAAACACTTGACCAAACTGACTTACTTATTTACTTAATGGTTGAATAAAACCATATAGAACATTCAGAAGATGGGATGAAGTTGTATCCAACAAGATTTCTCAATAACCAACCAATGTCATTGAACTACCTTTCTAATTGTTTAACTGAGGTTAGCCATATGCATTCTTAAAAGCAAAATAAAGAAACTAACATATAGAGATAGTAGACTGCAGGTAGTCCTTGGTTTATGACCACAGATAAGCCCAAAATTTATGTAGCTAAGCAAGACATTTGCTGTGAGTTTTTCCCCACTTTACAACCTTTCTTGCCAGAGTTGTTAAGTGAATCACTGCAGTTGTTAAATTAGTAACATGGTTGTTAAGTGATTCTAGCTTCCCCACTGACTTTGCTAGTCAGAAGGTCACAAAAGGGGATCATGTGATCCCAGGACATTGCAACAGTTAAAAATATGAGTCAGTTGCCAAGCGTCTGAATTTTGATCAGGTGACCATGGGAATGTTACAATGGTTATAAGTGTGAAAAACGGCCATTAATCACTTTTTTTAGTGTTGTTGTAACTTCGAACAGTCACTAAATGAACTGTTGTAAATCAAGGACAGCCCATATTTTTATAAGCATATACTTGCTTTGTTATTGCAAGTAATATGCAATTTAGTTGCATATTCATAGTCTCAATCTGTGTTTTCTAAAGTTTCCTAAAGTAGTCCTAGGACACTTTGGTCTCCCAGGATCATCTCAAGCATCCTCAAAATAAAAATTATTTGCCAATTTATGTGGAAAAATAATGTAAGATCCCATCATGAGAAGTGGTAGCAGCACCAAATGCATAATTTTAAATGAGGTAATGTTGGTAAACACAAGTTGACCTCGACTTACAACAGTGACTGTTTAGTGATTGTTCAAAGTTACAATGGCAAAAAAGTGACCATTTTTCACACTTACAACCTTTGTTAGCAGCCCCATGATCATGTGATCAAAATTCAGATGCTTGGCAGTTGGTTCATGCTTATGACCGTTGCCATGTCCCAAGATCATATGATCACCTTTTGCAACCTTTTGATGAGCAAAATCAATGGGGAAGCCAGATTCACTTAACAATCACGGTACTAATTTATCAACTGCAATGATTCACTTAACAACTGTGGCAAAAAATGTCATAAAATGGGGGGAAACTCACTTAATAAAAGTCTCACTTAACAACAGAAATTTTCGGCTATTTTTAGTTTTGTAATTTTTATCCCCATTTCAGATTTGCAAGTTGCAACATTGCCATAGAATTATTATTCCACATTATGGTCTTATCATGGGACATGATGGACTCTGTATCCTAGATCATACTCGATAAAATAAATATCTGATTATGTCCATTATAGAGCTGTCTCATTTTTAAAAAAGTATCATCATCATCATCATCATCATCTTACTTCATTAAGAAACATGTTTGAAAAACGTTGGTGCTTTTCACTTCTTGAGTTACTGAACTCTGAGCTATAGTTCAGATTCACTATCCTAACCATCCCATTAAACTTCTGGGCAGCTGCAAGATATGAGAAGATGACCAAAGTTAGACAAGCATTGTTAGTTAAAATAGGAGTAATCAGTTTGTGGGCAGGTTCTAGACATCAAATACATAATGCCAATTCACTTTTACACTTCAAATAGAAAATCAAAAGAATATCTTAAAAGCAACTGAAAAGAAGCAACTTTACATTTGGAGACACAAGTGATATTTACCATCTGAGTGTTTTGTCTCTACAATCAAAGATTTGCAGAACAAAGATTTGCTCTTTTGAACAAATAAAATAATTGTGAAAACAACACAGTGATGAAGATTAAAATATCACATTCATCATATACTACCGTATGTACAAATATTAGCAAACTAAATCAAATAGTCTGGATTAGTAGCTAACAATATTTATCATGCACAATATAATTTTTTTAAAAAGTAGAAAAAACAAAAAAAGAACCCCAAAGTCCTCTTTCTTTGTCCATCTATTACCATTTGTTAAAAAGAAATGTGTTGATGATTAGCATATAGCAACAATTATTACTGCAAAAATGATATATTTAGAACACAACTATTATTATGTTATATTCTAATTATTCTGGATATTCACCTACCCACTGCGAATCAATGGATTCAATAATCAATAATTTTGATTACTTTCTTTGTAAATTCCAAAAAACCCAAATATAACCAACGGGAACATTTTGAGAAGTTGCAATTACTCTAAACTTGATTCCGTAAATAGGAAGGATATTTGGAAAGAGAATAGCATGCTAGTATGCTAGACATCTGATGTTACTGACTCTCTGTTCATATTTACTTAGGTTAAACTGGAAAGGTAACACTTTCTGTTATGGACATCTGCAGTAGTAGATGCACGCTATGATATTTTATGTTGCTTTACCTGTCTTAACTTTACGCTGCATGGTTTCACTTTCATTTCCATAAAATACTAGCTTTATTTTAACAGTGTACAAAGTTCCTGCTTTTAGTTCGGAAATATTCAGATGACTGCTTTGGGTTTTAACCTTCTTTATCAGCTGTTCCTCCTCAAAAAAAAGAAAATGGAAAGTAGTATTTGCTGGAAAATGTGTAGTCCAGGAAATCTGAAAGCTAGTATTTGTCACATTGGAAAAAAATATTCTTTCAGCTGGAAATGCTGAAAAGACAAAAGGAAACAATTGAATCCATTCTTAGAATTATCTATCACATTTGTTTTATGAACAATTTGATGGTTTATTAAAAAGAATCTTTGATAGTGTAGAAACCTGTTGCTTGGATTTTTTTTTTCTCAGCCCCAACTAGAGAATGGGTTTAGATCAGGGGTTCCGAATCCTGGTTCCGTGGACCAGTACTAGTCCATGGTCTGTTGGGAACTGGGTTGTCCAAGTGGTGGGTGAGCACATTAAACTTCATTCACACAGGTGCAGAATCTAGGTTGTGCATGCAAAATCACCCCCCCCCCCCACTGCCACCACTACTTCCATCATTGTCGCCATTGCTGCAGCCAGTCTATGGGACCAGAAAGGTTGGGGACATTTGGCTTAGATGATACCTATCTGGTTAATCTTTGGACAAGGCTAAAAAAGAACCTAAATAACAACTGATACAATTTTGGAAGAATAGTTAATTGTATGAAAACTTTTCTTCTATTGTGACCCTGCTCATGTAATTAGTGCAAATAATGAACACCTATTTTAGGGGGCGCAGTGGCCTCACTGCTAAGATGCTGGGCTTGTTGACTAGAAAGTTGGCAATTTGAGATCCAAGCACTGTGTGACAGGGTGAGCTACCATTCCTGCTCCAACTCCTGCCATCCTTGCAGTTTGAAAGCACGCAATTGCAAGCAGATAACTAGGTACCACTTTGGTGGAAAGTAACAGTATTGTGTGCACCTCCACATATAGTCGTGTTGGCCACGTGACCACAGAAGCCTCCTCGGACAATGCTGACTCCCTCAACTAGGTAACAGAGATGAGCACCAATCCCTAGAGTCAAACACAACTGGACAGGGGAAACCTTTATCTTTTTATTTTACAAACAAAGGAACTGGTTGGGCTAGGTATTTGTTTAAATCCCATGAAAATATTAGAACTTCAGTGTTCTTTTTTCTTTCTTTCTTATTTATTTAAATGGAACCACTCCTCTGGCTTGTTGCCACTAGCGTCCATTTTCTAAACCACGCTGCCTTTCTCATTGTAATAACCTATTACTTTTAAAGTCAATGCTAAAATAAAGGTATACTCACCACTAAAATTTGTAGCAAGGGAGACGGTCATATTCTCCTTGAAAGAGGATGGTGATGCTGTACTGTTTCTTTCATTAGACCAAGAGTTGTTATTTCCCCCCACATGGCTATCAAGGGTATGGTTCAAAGCATGAAATCTGGGGTTTTCGGTTACATTCATGGCTATAATATTCTCAGAACTTCTTTCAATTGAGAAGCTAGGTGTGCTGGCTTCTACTGTAGTTTCATTTCTCTTAAAAGAATAGGTTTCTATGTTTGAAACTCCAAGTGATGAGGTTATTGAAGAGTTTTGCTGATCTTGGGTGGTCCATCTCTCTTCAGCTACAGTTCCATTTGAGACTGTTACATTGCCCGACCATTTTGGAGCCAAAGTAACTGTTTCTGGGCTATTTAAGCTATCCTTAACTGTTTCTGGGCTATCGCTGAAATTCCCTAATATGTTCATCTTCTGAGATGTTGCCAATGTCTTCTCTGCTGGAAGAGTGCTTGACTCCTGGATGCCACTAGAGGGCAGCACTGTTGCTTCAGTATACTTAATGAAAGGTGACACTTCCTGTATTTCTGCCATTGAGAAAGGTGCGGTAGTTGTATAATCAGTTACATTTGATCCCTGTGTAGTAACAGGATCCACAATTTCACCTGAATAGCAACATTTTGTACATAGTAAGTATAAATGTAATAACACAGAGTGATACTTTCTTTCATTTATGCATGAAAAAAATATTAGCTACAATGAATTAATTATACATATTAATTAAGTTAGCTGCAATGAATTAATTATACAAATGAAACAGTAGCTAGCTCTGTTCATGCATTACTCCATGTAAGTAGGCTCCAAGTTCTAAATAATACAGGACCCATGTTGCATCTCCTTATTTAGCTATACTCCTCAAACTTCATCTGTTGAAAAGATTGAAAAGGGAACTAAACAAGAATGTTCAGGGGAGGTGGGTGCTACAACTACACAATCAAATTCTTGCCCCTTTCTTACATGTGACATGTATGCAACACATGTCAAAAAAATTGTGGGAGTACAAGTGCATAGTTGCAGCCACTATCTTGACTAAGGTGACCAGATTTTAACATTGGTAAAGAGGGACATTGTGGGCGTGGCTTATTTTGTGGGCGTGGCTAGCTGGTCACGTGACTGGGTGGGCGTGGCTAGCTGGTCACGTGACCGGGTGGCCATGGCTATGTGTATAGGGACTACTCAGAGGGCTGAAAAGTCATTTCTGACAGGTCCTCACACTTATGACCATCCTCACATTTATGCCCGTGCAGTATTCTTGACAACCATGTCACTCATTTCACAACTGCTTCTCTTCACCATGGTGACAAGATAGGGCAAAAACGTAAAATGTGAGGACAGTCGTAAGTTCGAGGACTGGTCAAAAGTGCGAGGACCAGTCAAAAATAACTTTTTCAGCCCTCTGAGTAGTCCATATGCACAAAAGGACTAACCAGAGGGCTGAAAAAAGTCATTTCTGACAGGTCCTCGCACTTTTGAATGGTCCTCACACTTATGACCATCCTCACATTTATGCCCGTGCAGCATTCTTAACAACTATGTCACTCATTTCACAACTGCTTCTCTTCACCATGATGACAAGATAGGGCAAAAATGTAAAATGTGAGGACAGTCGTAAGTTCGAGGACTGGTCAAAAGTGTGAGGACCAGTCAAAAATAACTTTTTCAGCCCTCTGAGTAGTCCATATGCATTAAAGGATACAGCAATAGAGAGGGATGAAGGAATGGAAATTAGAGTAGGAGTGAGGGTAAGAGAGGGAGGAAGAGAGGAGGAGAAGGAGAAAGGAAGAGGAAGTAGGGAGGAGAAAAAGAGGGTGGGGGGAAGAGAAAGTAAGAAGGAAAGAAAAGAGAGTGGTGGTAGGTTTGAGGAGAAAGATTGCTGTACAATAAAAAAGATGAAAGGGAAGAAAACCAACCCCAAGCAAATATAAAGATTAAGATTAAGAATGAATTGTTAAACTTTAAAGAATAAAAGAGAACAAATATGAATAAATAGCAATAATTAGAAACACACATACAAACATACAATGTATTTTCTTTGAACAGAATATTTGGCTGGTTCACAAATTTAAACAGCGTTTAGTCATTTCAATTAAATTTACAATTTCTATATTTCCTTTTTGCCATATTTATTCCTCATCTATTTTTTTAAAAAACCAATATTACCCTTCATCCTCATCTCTAATCTTAATCAAATTCAATTTTTCCCTTCTATTCTATATTATATCCCTTCCCATTGTCATCTATTTTTATATCCATCCTCACATTGGTTAATTATGTAATTATGTAATACAGTTGTTTAATACAAATTCAACATTTTAATATAAATCAATTAGTTATATAACTATCTTTTTTGTATATTAATCAATATGAACATGAATATTCCAATTATTTCCATGCAATCCAATTTCTTACAAATCAATTAATTATATTTACCAATAATAATAAACCAAATAATTTCCCCCATATATTCCTCCAAACCACAACTTAACCATTTCTGCTTTCAACACAATATACAATTATTAATAGTATCTCAATTATTACAATTCCCTAGTTAAATAGAGCTTTTTTTCTTTTGTGTTTTAAAATCTTGAACTCTCCTCTTTTGTCCAAAATTTCCCATTGTTTGCAGTTTTGTACCTACCTTTTTTGGTGAGGAAAAAGAAAAAGAAAAAGAAAGAAATCTCTCTCTGCCTCATTTTGTCACGTTGCAGCTTTACTTTCGCTTTCGCCTTTGTTTTCAGCATAGCTAGGGGGAAAAAAATCTGCTCCAGGAACTTTTTGCAGCTTTTTGCAGCTTTTTGCAGCTAATTAACCTAGCGGAAGCTGTTAACAGGGGCTGTTTTTTCTATTTTTGCAGGCATGGGTCTACTCTTTTTTTTTTTAACACTGATCAGCTGTAGGTCGGCCCTTTGAAGCCCCGCGGCAAGAGTTTAAACAGTTTTTTTTCCCTCTAGCCATCAGCGGGGATTCAGGAGGCAGCCGGGACTCAGGAGGCAGAATGAAAAATTGGGACTTTTTTAAAACGCCGCGGGACGCGGGACAAATTGCTCAAAAGCGGGACTGTCCCGCCAAAAGCGGGACGTCTGGTCACCTTAATCTTGACCTTTTTTTTTAACAAACTCCCCACGGCCAGATGTAAGCATCCTCTATGTCAAACTCGCCGTGTCACATTGCCGTCACGTGACATTTCATGATGTTTTTCATTCACGGAGCTGGGGTGGGCGTGGCCTGCACGGGACGCATCCAGCCATGGGATATCAGTTTGACACCCCTGCTGTATGTGATCGGAATCTCTGAGTGCATCAGATTCCTAATCAAACAAATCAGATTATTTTCAGGATTGCTTTTCCCACTATGAAACTGCTTAGTCATTTAGTTCCTTAGGAGAGACTTTTTTGAAGTTGCTTGATTCTCAGGCCTGATGAAATGGGCCTTTTCCTATGTGGCTTCAAGTCTGTGGACAATGCTCCCTAAGGACATTTGTTTTATCATCTCTTTTTGAAGGTGATAAAAATACATCTCTTTTACAAAACTTTATATTATTCATTATTTGAAATGCTTATTTTAATTCTGATTTTGATTTTAATTATATTAACTTTTTATATTTTTAAAAGTTATTGTACATCATCTTGAATGTTGGAAAAAGCTGTATAATAAATTTAATAATTGATTTTTTAAAATAATAAAATCAAAGAACCCTCACAGGTTCTTTCAGATTTTAATGCACCAAAGAAGACACTTTCCTAATTAATGGGAATAAACAAATCCTTCATCAAAGTATAAACCTTAGGGTATTTTTTTACCTTCACAGTTTCTGCCTGGTTGGGCTGGATTGGCACCTGTGTCTGTCTTGCATCTGCATATATATGAACCCACCGTATTTATACACTCTGCAGACATACTGCAATCGTTTTCTGCTCTACATGCACACTCATCCCAATCTGAAGTTCAAAAACCAACATTAAAAAAAAACAAAAATTAGGTTAAATTGGATGATAACAAGAAGCAAAGCATAAGCTCTTACTTTTATCATCCTCAGGAAATCCAGAATATTTGTCTCCGCAATTGTGGTTGCCAAGTCATCAAGAATATTTTTCAAATACATTTTTTATTTTTTGTTCACCTTTGAAATAGTATGCAGCATCCTGAAAATCTAAATCTCACCTTAGGAAACATCAAAGATATTCACTGCTTTCGGAGGTTAGGGTGACATTAACAGGGTTTCCCATTTCTTTCCAAGGCTAAAATAAAACAAGGAATCTTCCAAGCTATTCTTGGTCATTATGAGAATCCACAGAAAATGAACACACATCTATATCCTATCTTAATTGTTACGTGCAGGTCAGGGGTGGGTTCTACTTACCTTTACTACCAGTTCACAGTGGGGCCGCACACACGCTCTTCTGCGCATGTGCAGAAGCATTTTGATGATGTCAGGGTCAGTGAGCGGAGCCCCCTGCCGGTTTTACTACTGGTTCTATAGAACCGGTGCAAACCGGGGGCAACCCACCACTGGTGCAGGTGCTCCCACTGTAATTTTGGTTTTGGAATTACTCACAATATGTCCAAAACTGGCACGATCAATGTCACAATCCAGATTATGCATCCTTTTTTAAAAAGGTGATACCAAGTAAGTGACAGACACATATTTCAGCTAGGTACAAAAAGTATCATACATCTGTGGAAATTTGGATGCTTTTGTGATCTGGGAGTCAGAATTTCCTGTTTTAGATGCAGATATTAATTCAATACCAGCATTTCATGAATCATTGTCTATGGTACACTATTGAGAGCTAAACACTTTTGGATATTGTAACAGAGACCTTATTAGATAGTACTATCCAGTGGTGAAATGCTACCGGTTCGCACTGATTCGGGCGAACCGGTAGTGATAAAAGCTACCGGTTCGAGCGAACCAGTAATTTAAAAAAAAGCTATCTGTTCATCCGAACTGGAATTTCCGACGATCAGCTGTGCCATGCAATTTATATTTGTTAGAAAGCTTTCTAGCAAATCTAAATCACGTGGCACAGCTGTTTCCCACCCCCTGTTCTACTTACCTTGTTAAGCCTTCTTTTTCCACGTGAAGCACCTGTTTGGCATGCACTGCGCATGCACATGCGTGCAGCGTGTTTGATGTGCAATGCACTTGCTCGCACACTGCGCTTTTGGCACCCACTGCGCATGCATGGGCAGCAAACCAGTGGCAATCCGCGGAGGATTTCACCACTGGTACTATCACAAGTACTTGTACAAATTTGCTCACAATTTTTCCATTGGAGAAATCCTCATTGTACAGGATAAAAGTCTTGAACCATTGAATATCACACAGCAGGTTATATAAATTATTTAAATATGATTCATGAATGTCTCACAATTGCACTGGTTCCTCTGGAGAACTAGTTAGGTACTTAAAAAAAAGAAAAGGAAGACAGATTGATAGCTTCTTACCCAAATTATTGTGTTTAGGAGGCATCCACTACAATGCCATAGTACCAGGGTAGACAGCTACAGGACTGAATTTGATTGGATTGGATTGAATACTTTATTTGGCCAGGTGTAGTTAGACACACAAAGAATTTGTCTCCGGTACAGAAGCATTCAAAGCAGCAGAATAATAGTAATAATAACAATAAAAGAGGGAGTAAAGAAGATAATAAGGATAAATACTACTACAGCCACACTACATGGATTAGTGGACATTAGGCAGCACTGAGAGAATTAAGATGTTTGTGGGCCTCAGAATCTCCTCCAAATCAAACATTTGTGGCCCATTCTCTCATCATTTTTAAGGACATTTTCTTGCCAGAAATCTGTAGGAAATTATATCACCAGTATTTAGATCTCTAATAACACATTTTAGCAGCGATCCCAGTGAGATATAGGAGCCCCCCACAAAAAAGAGATGTAGGTACATAAGACTACCAAATCTTAGATAGCTAACACTGCTTCATAAAATAACTAAACTATAAGCCAGACTTTGAATTAGTTAATATACCTTCCACTGAAGAGCTCTTTGGGTCAATTCCAAGCATAGAACTGTTATGAAGTGATGCAATCATTGAGTCAAATGCAGATAAGTCTTTTGGAAATTTTAGATCTTGTATTATGATTTTAAGCTTCACAATAATACTTCCAGCTTTAATGGAATCCACTTGTACTTTCAGCTTCCTGGATAGGTGTAATGCATTCATACTTGAAGGATATGAATTCTTAATCTGAAAACAGATAAGAAAACTGTTGCTGTTTTAATGCCCTTGTGCATGCATACACACACACACACACACACACACACACACACACACACACAACCTCAGACATACACACTGAATTTCCTTCTCCTTGCTGTCATTTTTCTTTATACAGTATTTTCTGCATACTGCAACTAAAAATAAATAAGAAAATCATTGAAGTTGATAGTTGCATTACATAAAATTTATTCTGAGATTTCAAATATATAATGGGTTTTAGCATTACCTCAGCCATCAAAGTTCTAGAAAAATTCTGGTATTCTCTGCTGCTCACATTGAGAAACTGGTCAGTGAAGTTATAGTTCAAGATCCTTAGAGTTAAACCAAATATCAAGGCATCTAAAAGATACAGTATTAGTATACAGTATTAAAACAGTGATACAATGAGAGGTAAAACATATGAGAGCAGACAAATTAATAAAACCCTAATGCTCCCCAAATCCTAATTAGACACTTAAGGCACTTCAGATTTACAGTACTATCAGATCAAATTAGGGAGCTTTTTAAGAGAAAGATTTACATGTTAGAAAAAAAATTTAATTGAATAAAATAGCAGATATAATTGCATACAGTACCTGTTTTCACAATTCTACTGGAGGTAATATTTTTGCCGCAAGCTTCATAGCTGATGTTCATTGTATACATTACACCTGCTTCTAGATTTAACATAGTTAGCTTCATATCTGTGGTTTCCATTCTTTCAACAAGTTCCTTGTCTTTGTACACTTCTGCTCGGAATGAATGGTTCTGCAAAGAATTTATACTCCAAGATGCTTCAAAACTGCTGCTAGTTACATTGAAGATCTTGTGGTTTTTAATAGAAGGAGAATCTGCAACAACAAATGTGTGAGTGCTATCATATTCGAGGGAAATAAAAACCTTCTGCGGTCATATTTTGTGTGGCTAAGGAATGATAGGCATGCACTTTAATTGCATAAAATAGTTTGTTTAGTATTTCCTTTTAGCAATAAATGAAGTCAATGCAGAATTTGATTCATGGGCTGAGGGGCAGAAATTTTTTCTTCAACCTTTAGGGTAGAAATATAAGGTGCTCTATCTTGGCATTCCTTGTCTTTAGAAGGTCAGCCTTTTGTGTGGTTTCTGAAAATTTGTACATTTTTGCCATGGAATGAAATTAAACACTATGCTATTTAGGATTCAAGTTATTGATTTGGAAATTTGGCTGGACCTAAATGGCTTGGGATTTTGTTTTCTATTCCACATTAATATAATAAGTAAGTGGTTGTTCCACTAAGATCATTTGCTACTTGGCAAGTAGTATAGATTTTATTTAGTTATTAAAATTATATGCCACCCATCTTGTTGGAGGTGATACCATGGACAATCTTACAAAATGATGAGGCCTATTCTATTTCTTGCTGTCATTTGGCTGAAGAAGGTGAAGAATGACACTAGTCATTAGAGCTGATTGCAAGTTCAGTCTATCAAATATTAGTCACCATCTCTGGAAAGCAAAAGATCGAATTTTAGTTAGTCTTCCTCTTGGAACCAAAGGAAGTTCACTCAAAGGTACCCACACAGCAGTTTACCTGTTCTGTTATAATCAACTCATCTTACCCTGTTTCCCCCAAAATAAGACATCCCTTGATAATAATCGGGCTTTTGAGCGTATGGCAATAAGGCCAAGCGCTTATTTCAGGGTTCAAAAAAATTAAGACAGGATCTTATTTTCAGGGAAACACGGTATTTTATTTAAGTCTAGCAAATGCACACAAAATTCAAATTTCAGGATTAAACTAAAATAATTCTTTGGCTATAATTTTCCAAGCAGCTCGTATCTTCCATTATAAATGTTATGTTCAAATGCTTATCTTTTCCTGCTCCAGAGCTTCCGGTGCATTTCTTTGTGCAGTTGGGACATGTAGAAATGTTCCACTAAATTCAACAGAAAAATGTACATTTGCCTTCACATCAAGGCTATCAAAGTGAAAATGTCATCACATGTGTCCCTCAAGATTCAGGATTGTTTCCACTGAACATGTGGGACTCATGAACTGTTTCTGTTGGCCCCAAGGGTTGAATGGTCAGGTTAAAAGCTGACTCTTCAGATTGTTAGGGGCACAGTGAAGAAAAAGGAAATAAGCGGTTCAGTAATTGTGTCTTTACTTTGAAGCTTAAACTATTTGAAGACTAGTACCATACAGGAGTGAAATACTCCTGGTTCTGACCGGATCGCCCGATCCGATAGTGATGACAATGGGTGGTTCAGAGAACCAATAGCAAAAATCCCTGCCCACCCCCCATGCCCAGCTGAGCTGCACGATCATCAGAGGCTTTTTTTTTTACTTTTAAAAGCATTTTTTCTTCGGTCAAAAAAATGCTTTTAAAAGTTTTTTTAAAAGCCTCTGATGATCATGCGGCTCAGCTGGGATCGTCAGAGCCTTTTAAAAGCATTTTTTTACAACCTCTTCAGCCAAAGAGGTTGTAGAAAAAATGCTTTTAAAAGTAAAAAAGAAAAAGAAAAAAAAAGTTGGCCATGCCCACCCAGTCACATTACACCCCCCCCCCCCACAATCAGATTTTCTCCAATCTGATCCCTTCTAAATGTATTAAACTGAAATTCCTATTACTGCTGGTCAGGAGATTAAGGAAAGAACCTTTGGCCTTAGGTCTACGGAAGAAACATAATATGAGGTCCACTCCAGGCAGCAAAGCAGCTTGCACAAATACTAATTCTCACAAGACCAAAATGCCCACATTTCCTTTAAAAATCAGACATATAAAGATTTAGAAACTGAGTGAAAAAGCACTTTTTATTTATTTTTGAAAGGTACTCTGGGACCTGCAACTGAAATATTGTTCCCAATTGAATGCATAAACAAATTTATTGGATTATAGTTGCACAAATAATTCTGTGGTACTCCAAACAGTAAATCTCATATGCCAAAATTGATAGGAGTCAAATATGTATTCATTTATATAAAAGAATGTGCTTTGATTAAAGCAGTTAAAATATGAAGCAGAATGAGCAATTAAGCAATCATTAACATTCTTTAAGCACCAATGTATGACATCTTATGGTAATCATTAACATTCTTTAAGCAATAATCTATAAAAGATCTCAGCTTCAGCACTTCATTCTATAAATCTAACTTTTTCAAATGATATTAAGATTTTAAGAAAGTCTTCAAGGCAAAAGCTTTCTGATAAACTATACTGAACAGTAATCTATTATTCTGAAATGGTAAGATATACCTACAAACAAAATGTGCCAGTAAGTCCATTAATTTGTTTCATTTACATAAGTATTCATTGGTTCCCTTATATACAGAGAAATGCTAAATAAATGATAGTGTAGACACAATTAAAAGAGAAAACATGCTTAAATAAAGCAGGTCCCAAAGGCCCTAAAGAAAGTAAATTTTAAAAATAAATGAATTTTAAAATATAAAGCAACTTACCACATTCAGAATCTACTGATACATGAATTTCAGGTGATGCAGATCTTGAATTTCTCAGCAAATTAGAAGAATGCATATTTTTAATCAGAATGTTGGGTATATTACGATCACAATCTGGATCAAGGAAAAGAATAATGAAACATGATCACAAGCCAGTAGGTATTCCTAAAAGCTAGCTGCAATATTTAACCAGCTGTGGAATGTAAAGGCAATATAGAGGCAATGTTTTGCTATATAGCATACTTATTTCTGCCTTCTTGTAACATTTACCTATCCTCCTATCACTTCTGGTCTGTTAGTGAAAAATGACAAAAAAAGTGGTTCGACTTGAGATAATATCTTCCTTTGTATCCTTTGATAAATTCTGGAACCTAAAGGATGTTCAGTTGAGTGCTCTGATCTTTGAAAGCAAGGAAAAGGAATAAAAAGAGGAGAGGGTTTTTTTAATGGTTTTTATGTTGAGATCACAACCATTTAAAAAAACCCTCTCCTCTTTTTATTCCTTTTCCTTGCTTTCAAAGATCAGAGCACTCAACTGAAGATAGATAGACAGACAGACAGACAGACAGACAAAAAGGAATCAATTCCAATAATTCCAATTCCATAAACCTCCCCTTCAGACTTATGTTGCTCATGGTAGCAAGCCACCCATGGGACCCCACCAATCTCAATAACATCTGCCCTCTTCCTGGATCAGTTTCTTCTTCCACAATTTTTAGAGAAACTGTCAAAGACTTTTCTCATTAATAAACATTAAGGCGTTGACAAGGAAGGAGAAGGTGCAATAATATGGTCTGCTATTTAATGTTGGGTGGTTGGTTGGTTGGTTGGTTTGGGTTGTTTTTTCAAATTTGTTTGCACTTACTTTAAAGGAAGGTTCTTGTGACACTTTGTAGAAAATTGAAAAATTAAAAAAAATGGCCTGACTAGAATTTCCTACCATTCTGTATTTTGTTAATATATGCCATCATTTTTATATTTTAATGTATACATTCACAAACATTTTCTTACTGTGAATTCCCAAGGTGGCACCCACAGGTGTTTGTCTGGCAGTGACACTACCACTTACACCTGCAGGTTCCCTGCCACACCCTCAAATTTATTTTTTATTATTTTGATTAAGAAAACTAAATGGGAAATTAGAATGCTAAAAAAAACCTATGTTGTGGCCAGCCCAATGCTTTAATTGGAAATAACTGGAAATATGTCCAGTTATTCAGAAAAACAAAAGATAAAAGTAAAATGGTAGAGAGCATCATGGGAATAGGAGATAAAGAGGATGGTAGGAAGCAGCTTCACTAGTTTGCCTTTCAGAAATTGTGGGGGTTGTGACTGGCCATACCCTCAATAGCAATCTTTTTGACCCATGATATATATATATATATATATAATCAAGCTACAAGTTTTCTCCTTGTCCCCTACAGACAGGAGAGTTTTGCCCTAGATAAATACTAGATTGCATGTCTACAGATTAATAATTGCATTTGCTGAAATAAGTTTTAGATTAGTCGTAATACAAGCTTTTGAGGTTTTTTTCTACATTTCCCCCCAGATTCAAGAACAAGTAAAATTAGGCCTTAAGAAACAGCATAGCATTTAACTCTGTGATTGCACTGAAGTGAAAGCAGTTGTTGTATTAAGGTCTTGATGTGGATGTTAATTTTACTCCATGCGGCTAAATGCTGTGGCAAAAGATAGATTTGTATTATGATCTTCAGCTTTCAGTTTGTCACATATGACAAACTGTACTTGAGATTCACATAATGTGTATAAGGGATTTACTCTTTTCTGAAGATTCCCCTCCTCACATCCTAGAAAATGCCTTGTCACACTAGAGACCCTGTTTTCTAATACTGAAAATCCAAACATAAAGTAAAACCAGAAATTTTAAAAATCTGTTTTATAGAGCTGCTCTTCAGTCAAATATATCTGATATAGTAACCTTGTACAACAACGTCAATAACATCATATACTCTGATCACAATTTTCTTCAGCAAAGAAGAAATATTGACCAATGGAACCAGTTGCTGCAGTCCAACCAGGACATGAGACACTAATGTCTCTGCGTAAGTTTCTGACTTGGTTGTCTGGATATGATACACAGAGATGTTCATGGGCCACAATGCTCCAGTAATCTGGAAAAGAGAGAAACTCTTCTTAAACCTTATATAATACCACTGTAGACAAGTATATAGTTTTTCTTTAAATTCTATATATAAAGTGAAAAACAATGCAATCAAAATTAGATCCTTTCTAACACTATAAAAACTATGTTTCAATATTAACTTAACACATGATCTCTATTAAAGAGGCATTATTTTAGTCAGAATTTTATAATTTATTATTTTAATTACATTGAAATATTTAATAAATATTCAGCATTATTCACTTTAAGAACATTTTCATGTTCAAGCAATGTATTTGCCCGTAAACACACCAGAAAAAGGGGGTTTATCTGAAATGTAAGAGGAACAATATGTTCTATAACTTCTTTGTCCAGTAGGTGGCAGTCCAGTGTAGGCTGGGCTTTCTTACATCAAGAGAAATATACAGTACAGTTTATATATTACTATTCTGTTGATTCATACCATAGAGTGCAAAAAACGTGAATGATTCAGAAGCCTTGGAGCTACTTTGCATAATTCACTGAAATCCCTTTTCACAAGGACTGACACATTATACCAGTACTTTGTCACTGTTCGTTCTAGAATTTGAAAGAGAAAACAATCAGGTGGTAGTCAGAACTTTACATTAGTGCATAGATGCTGAACTAATATATTGGTCTTCTCATTTTCAGTGGTCTTGATTAACTGAAACTCACAAGGTGTGACACTATATGCATTTAATCAACCAATCAGAATTATCTATGAGACTAATATATTCTGCATCATAATTGATCTCTTGTGTGTGAAAACCCTGACAGAATTTTGAAACACACCTGAAATATCAGATCAAGGTTGCCTAAGAAGGAAAGACCCACAAATCAGATCTTCTGCATCAACTCCCCTACATCCGAAGAAGAAAAGAATAAGTAGCATGACAGTATTGTACTACTATACCTTCTGGAACAGGATCTGAACAATGGGTTCCCATAGATGTCTTACAGCACTTTTTATATCCTGGACAATCCATGTCAGACACACATGAACTCTTTACTGCTTCCCCTATCTTCATGGGACAGGCACCAGGTCTTGAAGCAAACTCGCTGGATCTGTTTATGGCTATAAAACAGAACATTTTACAATGATGGCCAAGATGCTAGTTTCTTTAGGTACATCTAAGAGCCTAACCATCCTCAATGGAATTTTCTTTTAAATTTATTTTGAACCAAACCTTGCCAATGCTATGAACATCAGATTCCAAAGTTCCTTTCCACAGAATTTTGAAGAAGCAGAAAAAATATTCTTGACTCAATAGGTTCTAGTCCCAGAGTCAATTGTCAGCCATTAGAGCAGAGGTCTTCAAACTTGGCAGCTTTAAGACTTGTGGACTTCTATTTCCAGAATTCAGGGAGTTGAAGTTCACAAGTCTTAAAGCTGCCAAGTTTGAGGACCCCTGCATTAGAGAAACCTGCTAGTGTTCCCTCTCTCTTTAATTGTTGTTACCTTACCTAAGTCATGACTAATGTCAAGGCAAAACATTAAGGCAGGGGTAGAGAGAGAGCAAGAATAAAGTCCATGCTTCCATATCTCTGTCCAGATTGTATTTATATTCCTCTCTGAGAAACCTAAATGTGGATTTAGATCTTTAATTATACAATATCAGAAGCTCTTGGTCTCTTTGATGCAACTCCCTTTATTTCCAGGTTAGGGTAATAAACATTATCTGAAGTTGAATGCCATGCCTGAAACCATTGTTAATTTGAATATTAGTCTGCCTTTAAAATGAAACCAAATATTTTGCTGGTGAAAAAGATAGTCAAGAGAGTTTTGAATTGGCATCAGACACTGTACATAAGTTATGCTGGTCTTTTTTCACACTAGCTTCCAGCTCACTTTGGAACAAAATTTGAAACATGGGTTTTCACCAGGGGTGAAATCCAGCAGGTTCTGACAGGTTCTGGAGAACCGGTAGCAGAAATTTTGAGTAGTTCAGAGAACTGGCAAATACTACCTCTGGCTGGCCCCAGAGTGGGGTGGGAATGGAGATTTTGCAATAACCTTCCCCCAGGAGTGGAGAGGGAATGGAGATTTTGCAGTATCCTTCCCCTGCCATGCCCACCAAGCCATGCCCACAGAACCGGTAGTAAAAAAAATTGGATTTCACCACTGGTTTTCACCTACAGAAGTAGAGAGCTGTACACTATTTAGAAACTTAGTACCTACCCAGTATATTTCTAGTTCTTTACTTTTTATGATTCATTTCTAAACTTTTAAGAAAACTGATTTTGCGGTTTGAAGAGTGGCTCTCTGAGAAAAGGTTTCTACAATGATAATGGAAGGCCTTCTCCAGAGAAGCCTGCTAAACTTCAGACCTGTTTTCATTCTGATAATCAACTTATTTATTGATTGGCACCATCAGTGGTTTTTAAACATGATTGTTATTTTAATCCTTTTAATAGTTTATTAGTTTTAGTGCCTATATGTATTGCTTGATTCTTTTGGCTCTACCTTTTTTAAATATAGTTGACTTTTATATTATACTGAATTATTTTGGATTTTTATAGATTTTATCATATTTTTACATGATTGCAAACAACACATAGAATTACCGTTACTGGTGATTAATAATTATATAATCAGTTTTCAATAATGTGGAAAGTATTATCAACTCTTTCATAATAATAACTATTATAATTTCACCCTATTTATAAGAGTCAGGATAGCAGTGAAATAGCCCATGGAAGGGATTCACTGTAGTATCTCATACAAACTGTTATGGCATAAAAATGATACAGGATGAGTTGTGACATCACAATGCATGCCCAACCTCTTATGCACTTGAATCCAATATGACTTGTGAACTTCAACTTCCAGAATTCAATATGACTTGTGGATTTCAACTCCCAGAATTTTGGGAGTTGAAGTCCACAAGTCATAAAAGGGCCATAGTTCCTTCCTGCTCTGGCATGTCTCTGGGATTGGCCACCACAGTAGCTATTGCAAGCATTTGCTGTGAAATTATAAGTACTTTATAAGGTGATTTACATTATTTCACTGCCATAAAAAAGTAGGGCATAGTGACAATCTGTGTCACTGGAGGGCCCCGATTATACTGATGCTAGTAATATGGTGGAAAGAAAGAACTGATATCAAAGATCAGTCCCATTATTTTAATGCAATTTTCCTGGTTTAATGCAGAAATTTATTTATCAACATAATTGATAAATAATAATAATAAAATAATAAAAGGAGCAATAAATAATGGCAATTATATTTCAACTGTAAGAAAATCTGACTTGATCAGAAACTTTGCAGGCCAGCAACATTTTGTGCAAAAATTAGATGGCTAAGGTTTCCAGCAATGCAGAAATCTAAATCCACCTCCAATTTAAGTAATCCTTATATGCCAGCTAAGCAGATGAAAATGTAAGCCAGCCTCTCACATCTGTACCTTTCTGATAACAAGACCTAACAACATTCCAGTACTCTAATCAGAGAAATGTGAATGTCAGCCACTCCCTTGACCTTAATGATGAATAAACAGTCAGTACTTTTCCCCCCTCATTTCAGGAATGATTGCTTTCGCCTAGAGTATATCAATGCCAAGAGATGCTATTTTGTATGAATCCTTCTGCTAGAACGCTTAGCATAGTTATGAGCATTACATTTAAAGTGCATTTAACCACCCAGAAGTGATGCTTTTCCCACCAAAGGTAATTGCACCCAAGGAGGGGAAACATGTGACCCTCCAGTTGTTTCTGAACAAAAATTCCCAGCATCCCTCACTTCTGGCTATATTGAATTGGACTCTTGGGAATTATAGTACAGTACCATCCAGAAAGCCAAAGATTCTCCACGCTTGATTGCTAGAAATAAGCAAGAAATAAAGGATACTTAAAATAGAAAGATAAAAAGCACAAAGCATCCATATGCAAATAATCTAACAAAACTTCAATTAATTCAAAACAAATAGGCTTCAAACTAAATGAATCATACAAAATAAGTGGGAGATAATGCATGTATATCCGCTATTGATAACAAAAAAAAATCAATGCCCAAATAATATTATAATCCTAGTCTAGTGCTTATAGCATAAACCTCTAGCATGTTTCTGAAAAGGCTGTCAAGTTCTCATTATTACAGGAGTCATTTTCAGGGGTGAAGCCAATTCTCAGAGATCCCTGGAAAAATGTTACCTAGTCAATGTCTTCCTTAAGGGAAAAGCCTCCTGAAAACCATGTAATAATAATGGAAATAGAAAGAATTGCTATGGTGCTGCTGCTTTTTTCCAAAAGGTTTTATTTACTGTATTTTATTATTTATTCTCTATTATATTAATTCTGCCAGGTCTGTCATATGTTCTGAAAAGTTTTCAGACTAAGAGATTATGGCTGTTGTAAGAGAAATATTCATAAGTAGTCTGATAAGCTAAGATGAGACAAAGACAATTCAGTATGATTCATATTCCCATGACAACTACTGCATGCAGAAAGCCAGTAAATGGCTGGTGCACATTTTATGTGGCTGATTCATTTGTTGCTTGCTAGCAAATCATTTGCAATAAATGTAAAACCTCTTGAGAGGTTCTGTCTCAGAAAATCACAGCCAATCATAATTTGCAAGGGAATATTTTTCTATATGTTAATTAATCAATAAAATTAGTAGTGTCGAGAAAGAGAAAAGCACCCCATAGAAGTAAAAAAATGATAACATGGGGGCTGCATTTCTAAAAGTATGGGGGAGAGCCAGGACAATTCCATTTAATTTAATTTATTTAGTTAATGTTAAATCTAATTGATTAAATTAATATAATTCATCATGTATTTAATATGCTCCTCCTAATTTTACACAAAATAAAGCACATGCATTTCAGTTATGATAGAATAAAGAGAGTCACAGAGTGGCCAAAGTTATCTGCTACTTACATTGACTTTTGGGTATGCTATATAAATACAAACATAGCATCCAAAGAATAGACCCTCAAGTGACAGCATCCAGGAAAAATCTAAAGTGCTCTAAACCACTCTCATTTCTAATTATTTAGAATCCAGGCATAAGTACTTTAATATCAAGGAAAACATTAAGAATCATTCAGTAACACACTCTTAATTCTGTCCACTGATTAATAAATAATGAAAAGAAAAAGTTGATAAAGAATATGTCTAGATAATACCATTCATAAACATTAGCACTATGAGGTCTGGAAAATGGTTTAACCTTTACTAGGGAAATAAATAAAACAGATCTGTATAACCCCACATATAGAATAATTCGCAAGTTCTCCTGAGCAGAAAGAACCTCTAATCTGATTAGGGCAGCCTATACCTGTATGTAGTTGAAGGTAAGTTTATGTTGTTAAATCTATTTTTGGCAACCTTGAGATGCTCTATTATAAGTCATACTATTTTCCCTAAGAGTTTTTCTCAAGATGGAGATGATTTTGCATGTTTATTATAGAGATTCAGGATATCTCTTCTACCAAGCCTCCCTAATCATTTTCTCCTGAAATTGTATTTGATCACTGTGAAATTATATGTAACATTTACTCAGAAAATTCCATAGTCACAGGATAGAATTTTTATAAGATCAAGGAAACTGTTTTTTCTGATTAATATCTATGAACCACATGAATAGGTTACCTAATCTAGCAAATTTTGATCTCAGTTTGATCTAGTACCATTATATTCTGAATTGCTAGAGTTACTATTAGCATTGACATGTATTCTGAAGAATTACAGAACTACAGTATGTTTATAGCAGTTAAAGAAAATTGGCATGGCTGCATATTGGTGAGCAATGTAATTGAAATATATGAATATTCTAAATGACATTTCCCCCCCCTAGTATCGTCCCACAGATGCAGGGTCTGTTTTTCTGATCAACAGAAGGTTGGATGTGACAAGAATTGACTGGTGTCTTAATTACTAGATAAGACTGGCTCTCTCTTCTAAATTACATATTAAACTTTTTAAATCTGAGGTATTATAGATCTACCAAGTATGAAGTAAAAGGAAAAGGCCACAAACTAAATTCATACTTTTGCATTGATTATGCAGTGATTATATGTGTCACTCTCTGCTTTAGGACTGGCTTGTTAGCAATATAATGGAATGACTGATCAATATAATTCCATGAGAGCTAATTTCTACTGTCTTCTGTAACTCAATGGGACATTATGGTCCAGAAAAATGGGGCATAATCAGAGAGATGAAATGAGAAATCATAATGTTCTGCACATAATAAATGCCAAAGCAGAAGGAAAAAAAAGGATATCACAGAATATAAAAATTAAAATAGGATGTGCAATATTAGAATTTGATGAATAGTACTTTACAGTTTATTTCAACTAGTCAGTCATAATCACTCAGTGATACAATCTCCTCCTTTAAAATGATTATAAAAATGTATTACATTGGGAATAAAAATTCCCAATTGTAAAATATATGAAATAGGTGAAAATAGTAATCAAGGCAGAATTTGCATCTGGCACTGAAAGGAGGGGGGGAGCTAAATATAACTTTTTGAATAGTGTTGATCTTTCAAAACACCTCTGAGCACATTTACATAATGGAAGAGTCATTTCTTTTATTAATAAACATTTTGAAAAGATAAAGAAAGGGCAAACACAGTGCCTATAGTCAGACTAATAGAAATATTGTTCTGTGGCTTAGTTATATATCAAAGGGGAATTCTTATGTGCATATTATGTTGTTTACTTAAATGCATGTATTTTAGGCTATAGCTAATGGCTTTTAAATTAATAAGGACTAGCAAATAATAGCAAAATGACCATTGCCTGATTTCAAAACAGTTTCATTTTATCTTATCTTTTTTATCATGAAACTGGAGAAATGGCATATAGGTTTATGTACACCTCAGAGAATAGCTACAGTACTCTTATACTGAATGCATAAAATGCATTCAGGATAATGTAAGAGTTTAAGTAATAATGACAATGTGATATTAGAGCCAGTCTGGTGTAGTGGTTAAGGCACTAGGCTGGAAGCCAGGGGAATGTGAGTTCTAGTCCTGCCTTAAGCACAAAGCCAGTCACTCTCTCCCAACCCTAGGAAGGTAAATGGCATTTCAAAAAATCTCTCCAAATAAAATGCAAGACAGACTCCAGGAGTTAACACTGATTTGAAGTTTCTATTTATTGATTGGTTTACCCTGGAATTTACTATATTTTTCAAAATAATTCAAAATGAATAATTCAAAATGAAGGGAAGGGGTCTTAAAATTGCTGAGCATATAGCTAATGGTCACATACAAGATTTTTGTTTTACATTGGAAGGAAGCCACTTAATATTCAGCTTGTCAGCTTGTCAAATATGGCAATTCATTTGACCTTTGAACATATGCTTATAAACCTGAAATAAAATCCATGAGAAAGGTTCACTGAAATGAATATCTGACCTAATCATACTATTCCTGGAAAGGATTACCCATATAAGAGCAAATCTGGACTTCAATATGTTTCTCCACAAGATACATCAACTTTAAGGAACTTCAGGGATTTGCTTCAATGCATAGAAAATTATTTGTATTTTTAAAATATTTTTATCCTGCTTTATTATTATTATAACTCATATAATACTCCTTCCTCCTTTATTATTTTATTTCTTTTATAAATAACCCATTTAATACTCCTTCCTCCTCCTATTTTCCATACAACAAACCCGTGAGGTGAGTTGGGCTGAGAGAGCGAAAATAGCCCAAAGTCACTCAGCTGGTTTTTCATGCCTATGGGAGGACTAGAACTCAGTCTCCTGGTTTCTAGCCTCGAGCTTTAACCAGTACACCAAACTGGCTCTCTAAAAAGTATGTGATTAAAGAGAAAAGTATGTAAGCCAAAAACACTTTTCCTATATTTCAATACCCAAAATATATATCATTTGTTGAGGTGGGCAGCTATAGAAATCAAATCAAATCAAATCAAATCAATCAATCAATCAATCAATCAATCAATCAATACACCAGCCAGCCAACCAGCCAGCCAGCCAGCTATAGTTGTATATGGGCCATATTTACTAAATCTGCTTTATGGAAAAAAAGAAAAGAATAAACACTAGATTATAAATACACAAAAGTCAGTTTATTTGCTGCTATCTAGAAGTCATCCGACATTTGCAAGTGACCTAACTTGCTGACCCTATACTGTAATTAAATATATTATTAATTCTGCAATTCATAGGCCGTAGTCTTTTCATTGTTTCATACTTACGTAAAGAACAATATAGACCCACTTGTTCATACCCAGCACAACAATCTGTCACATTCACAGCTTCTTGGACCATAATAGGATGATACTCTTCTTTGTAATAAGTTGTGGTGCACATTCTCCAAGGAATCCATCCTCCACATGGTGTTTGTTTCTCATATGATTTTTGATATGCAACTGTTTTGGTCACATTTTTTATCACAGAATAATTGCATAAATGGTAACCAAGCAAAGAGAGATTTTTCTCTAAAATAAAGAAAGCAGAATGATCTATTAGAATGGAATTAGTGATATAGAAGGTACCTTTCCACCAAACTACTTGGAAACAACTGAATGTTGTTCAAGTTGTTAACATAAGATTTTGTTATCCTTGTAGATTCACAATGCTGAAAAAGAAAAGGAAGGAAAAGAGAACGGTGGTAGGATGCAGTTGCAGTGGTAAATGGTATACACCACTAAAAGAACAGAAAGCCCATATTAGGTACAGAGTCATTCAGTGGTAGAGCTGACATTGGTTTGATAGCATGTAATCTTTCAGTCAATATTTTAATGATTTTGAGTATGGTCTGAAGGTCCAGAAGGAAGAACGCAAGATCATGGTTGATCAACAAATGACAAATGTTAGAAGAGACTGTCCAAAAAACAGAGAAACAAGCTCAGACTCAACCCCTCCAAGACCGAGTGGCTGTGGCTTCCGGCGTCCCGGTATAGTCAGCTGGTACCATCACTGACAATAGGGGATGAGATCTTGCTCCCCACAGAGAGGGCCCGCAACTTGGGTGTCCTCCTGGATTCACGGTTATCTTTAGAAGATCATTTGATGGCCGTGGCCAGGGGTGCCTTTTATCAGGTTCGCCTGATCCGCCAGTTGCGTCCCTTTCTGGATCGGGACGCCTTGCGCACGGTCACTCATGCCCTAGTTACCTCCCGTATGGACTACTGTAATGCTCTCTACATGGGGCTCCCCTTGAAAAGCACCCGGAGGCTCCAACTGGTCCAGAACGTAGCCGCACGGGTGATTATGGGCGCAGCTCGTTACGCCCATGTAACACCTCTCCTACGCGAGCTGCACTGGCTCCCGGTGGTCTTCCGGGTGCGATTCAAGGTGTTAGTTATCACCTTTAAAGCGCTCCATGGCTTAGGACCTGGGTACCTACGAGACCGTCTTTTGCCACCAATAGCCTCCCACCGACCAGTTCGTTCTCACAAGGAGGGACTACTCAGGGTACCATCAGTCAAATTATGTCGACTGGCGACTCCCAGGGGGAGGGCCTTCTCTGTGGGGGCTCCAACCCTTTGGAATGAACTGCCCCCGGAGATACGGAATATCCCTGATCTCCGTGCTTTCCGCCGTGCCCTCAAGACCCTGATGTTCCAACAGGCAGGGCTAAACATACAAACATGTGAATGATTTTTTAAATGTTATCTAATTCTGGGTTTTATTTAATTGACCAAACTAAGTAATAATTTTAATTAGCAATTTTATGATGTTTGTGTGTCTATATTTTTCTTGACTGTACACCGCCTTGAGTCCTACGGGAGAAAGGCGGTATAGAAATATAATAATAAATAAATAAATAAATAAATAAATAAATAAATAAATAAATAAATAAATAAAATCTACTCAGAACCTTCAGGAATGGAGCAGGCCAATCCAGAACTGACCTAGTCATTAAGCAGAACATGGTAATCTCCTGAAGCAGATAATTTGATCAAGATTTCCCCCCACACACAATTGAGAAACTTTGGGATGACTTTCACACATGTGAAAGAGTTCTGTGGCATATTCTTCTTGATGCTGGCATGTCTGGTACTCCTAAAACTTTCATGTTAAATCATTTAGGCTTCTCTATTATTACCTGTTGTTTACTACTGATACTCTGATATTCTGTCTATTTTGATTGGAGGCCACATTGTTCAAGCCATTCACAAAACAAATTTGCTTCAGTGCAAATGATATCTGTTCCTAAAACCTTATACTTCTGAATAAATATCAAAGTTAACAATAATTGCCGTCTAAAGTCCTGCTGGCATCAATTAGGATTCAGCAACAAAACCAAGCACAAAAGATACAGTTTAGAGGTTAGGGCCCAGCTCTCAGAAAACTACTGTTCCCCTGGGCAGAATTGCTAAGCAAAATTTGTTTACAAATTAGCATTTTCAGCTGTATAGCTCTTAGTTACAAGACTTAGCTTGCTATTAAGCTAATTTAAAATGTGCTTTGATATGGGTGCATGTGGTGTGAATGTCTTTCAATTATGAGCTGAATTTTCCACTGCAATTACTGGAAATTTATTGGATATTTACAAGGTTTATAATTATTGGCTAATTATAATTTTACCAGCTTATATTTTGTTATGACATTGATACTCCAGGCAAATATTATGGCTTTAAAATATTGACACTTTATATTAATTGGTGGCAAATTGTATTGCTCAAGTAACAGTTTTAAGATTTTTCTTAATTTAAACAATGAAAAACTATGGTTAAATTACTTTTGTAATATACTACATATACAGTATACAATATATTGTGGCTGTAGACTGCTTATCTTTCTTCATTGCTATAATAAAGCCTATTTATTTATTTATTGGTATTCCACCTTTATTATTTTTAGAGATAACTCGAGGTGGCAAACATATCCAACACACCTTCCTCCTCCTGTTTCCCCACAACAACAATCCTATGAGGTGAGGTGACTGAGAGAGTTAGAAGATTGTTGTTTAAAAATCAGGGAATCAAAGGATGTTTTTAAGAAAGGTGAATTCTCCAGTCCTCATACATAGTAGTCCCATCCAAAATAGTGATGAATATATTAAATAATCAGATCCATAATATGAATCCATGAAAGTAATTTGAGGAAGTAAAATCAAATGCAATCCAAATACTGGTAATTGATTCAACAAAATAATTATAAAATATAACCTCAATGATTATTGCAATAATTTGGATTTCATCAGACAGTCCCTTTTACAAAGTTATTAATGGAGAAAAAACAGTGGAGAAAACTTATCACTGCCAAACCATCCAGTAAGAAGAATCTTTTAAAGTTGAAAATAAAGAACTACAACTCCCTATCTCTTAGCCTCTTTTCACCTGTCTTGATATAACAAATTAGGAAGAGAGGCTGAAATGTTTATCTCCTGCAATGTTAATATTTGGGGAAGATAAATTTACAACAAATGAGGCAATGCAAGTATTGGAGGAAAAGAAAATGCATTTTTTTCAAAAAAAAATCTTAAAATAAGACACTCCACCAGAATTGCTTTGTTCATTCTGCTGTCTCAGGCAGTTCTGTGAAGTGAGAATGTGCTAAGAAGACTCAGAACTACAAACTGTACAGGCAAAGTATTCCAAATAGGGTTCTCATGTATCAGGAGATATGTCCTTTAACATCCTTTGAAAACTTATAGGCACCCTAATTTTGTTTGTTAGGTTCTTTTAACTTAAAATAGATTAAATGGGATGCTAGCATGCTTCAAAGCAAAACATCGATCTCAAGCATGATCTTTATTCCAAGAATATTTTTAGGCCCTGGCTATATTCCAGCCAATCTCAGAAAATGAAAATTAACAAGAGATACTGTCTTTCAAAATGTATTTCTTTGGTTTATACATACACAATTAACAAGACATAAGTAAAGGAAGTACAGTTTAATGCCTGGTTTGAAAGTGTGCCTACCAACCCAGCAAACAAAACAAAACAAAAAGAGATGTCAAATGGTTATTGGAGGGCTAAAAGAGATAGCTAAGAGTAAGCTCAGCAGTTTGACTTTGGTTAAACTGGTGATTAGTAACTGGAATAGTCATCTTGGCAGCCATTTTGTGAGAATACCTATAACATGCTCTCAAAACTCTAAATATGTCCCCAGCTCAAAAAAATGGGGATTCCTAAATGATATATACAGAAGTTTCAGCAGCACTAAGACAATCTTCTCCAAGATTTACATAGTTCACCTAAAAATTCTATACAAATTTAGTTGAAACAAAGTCTCACTAAGTTTACAGAAGAAGGAAAAGAATGTGAGAAAAAAGATATTCACATCTCTTTTACAAAATATTATTCTGAAAGTATAGTCCTTGACATCGAAGTGTTTGAAATATTAAATCCATGATTAGCATTGGGTTCTCAGGATGAATGACCAGCTGCATTATATGACAAGCAAAATCTATGGTTCTAAATTAAAATTATCCCTGAAATGAAACTACTGTAGTACCATTTAGAACTGTAGCATGGTGACTCACCTGTAAAGGTGTTGCTTGCGCTCTCTGCTGAAGTGATACACATGATGAAAACAAACGTTACCAAGACTTTAGCCAATAAAATAAAGGAGTCCCTCATCATTTTTTAATTTGTCTTCGTCCTCTGAAAACAAAAGAGCTGGTAGTATTACATAGAGTTATTAGGATATAAAGGAAAAGATTCACTGCTTTTCTTCTTTGTATACAGGTATACATTGGTCCTGGAACAAAGAGAGAATTCAGCCAGTATCTTGCTTGCATGGGTTTGTTAATGCTTTCCCAAGAGACTGCCTGCATCTAAATTACCCATCCTGGTCCTCAGCAACCTGTTACACTCATGTACAGAATAACAATCTGATGAAAACACTCTTCCATGAACTTAAAAACAAGAAAATGTTTTTGGGAGAGAACCAAACGATGAAACAATGGCTTAGTAAATTAAATCACTGCATTTTCTCTGAAAACTTAAAAGTAATGGAAATTGGGGTTTTAATTTATCTGCATAACAGTAATCTATGATGACATGTTAAGCTGAAGAAGTCAGGGCTCACATTCACTCTGCAAGCAATATGTGTAAACTGGGGTCTCTCCAAGTCCCGCATCTTTATCCCTACATTATACTAATATTGGTTCACTGGACTGGAGGATAGCAGTGCCATTTCCTTCCCCTTATGAGAGAGGACTCATAAACTGGGGGAAAGTCTAGACAGAACTAAGCAGGAGAGGAAAGAAATAAAACATTGAACAAGTGAAAGGCCAAGATTAAAATTAAAAATATGAAAGTTGTGTCGACATGTAGTGCAGTTAATATAGTACAGTTTTAAGGAGTACTTCTGATCAAAAACTACTAACAGAATAATTTTATTTGAAAGAGGTTAGTTCCTCTGTGCTGAGTGGCACTTTCTCCCTAGGATTGTAGCCTTAAGGAATGAGTTTGTTCTGCTGGTATTGTATATTTTGTGTGGTCATGATCTCAGTAGCTTTAGGTCTTTCAAATCTATGCAAATATTTTCCACTTGGGACTGTATTTTTGAGAAAGGTTTTTGGGGATCACATATTTTATCAGGCACTTCCTCTCTGCTGTCTTTCCCATGATTATAAAAGTATACAATATAAGGAACTAAGTAGAAAATCAACATCTAAGGAACACCTGACAACATTTAAAAAAAGTTTTGAATTTCAGTTACAGATAGTTTTGACTTGATATTATTAATCCTTCCATTTTTCTTGTTAATCTAATACGCAGGACAAATTAATAAAATTTTCTGTTTTTCTTTTGTTTCCATTCTCAGTTCTGGATACAAATACAAATTCAGCCTTGTAAAATAATTTTAATTAAGAGATAAAATAAATCTTTAAAGGAATCATATTGGTTGCATTAAAAATAGTTTTTCATATCCCTAGAGGATACTGTGCATTTTATTGCTATGGTAACCATGGTGAATCATCCACCAGTGCCATGGAAACACATCGAGAGTATTCCATTGGGAATTCAAAACAGGTTTTGGAAAACAGTATCTATATATCTATTTTTCAAATATGTTAATATATTCAGTGATTAGGTTGGTGGAGATAAAAATAAGCTGAACTGTAAAAAAAAGAAAGGAAGAGAAAGTATCATCTTGGATCTCTCAAGTGTTATGCTGAATACATATGAACTTCTGTAAATATGAGAACAACCATTGTCCCATTTTACAGAGGATAATACTTGGCTACTTTCTACTCTGATTTAAATATAAGACTGGAGAGCAAAGAAATTCCCCATCAAAAGATAACATTTGGAGGGCAAACTTAGTAGATTCACAATACATCTGATCGTCAGGTCATGGTGTGGTGTTGCAGATTGTCTGTGTTCATGTGGGTTTGTGTCTCTTTTTTCTATATCTATCATCAACTTACCTATGTACCTGCATACTCAAACTCATGAGCAAATATATGACTTCTGTCACAATTTTTTGAGTTGGACACTCCTTTTCTGTTTTGGCAAAATGCACATAACCGATATAGTGAAATCTTTTGAATTGTCTTCTGATCACTTAAGGCTCTAATAAGCCTTATCCTGAGAAACTCCCACAGCACCTTATTAAATTGTTTATTGTTTCTAGCTTCCTGCTTTCGGTTAAAATACATTACATAAACAATTCTTACAAAAACAAAATTAAAGATGTCTTTTTCAAATGAACTATAACTTATGTAGATTTATGGAACGCCCCTGAACCACTTGCTATGTCTTGCATTTGTTTAAAAATTCAAGGACATGTTATTATTTATATATTTATCAATTCATGGAGTTCCTTCCATTTTTAGAAGATTCTTCAAAAGGCAACAAAGAGCCAATTCAATAGGATCCATAAAACCCAATAATCTGAAACTATATTACATTATGTTACATCATTTTTAACTTTATATTGTACAACAGTCATTAATAACTACTCCCCAAGTCATCAGGGCCTTCCAGAACAGCCAACATCTGGAAGGCAATGAGGATGGGAGCTACTCTTATCTCAGGGGGCAAAGCTGAGAACTGTCAAAGAGAATGTCTTGGCTGCCTTACTTCTTGGTAGGTGGAAGCTTTAGTAGGCACTCTCTGTTCACTCAGGCTCGGTGAGTAGAATCAGTTTGGAATATGAGATCTTGTAGACTCCCTAGTTACTTGCCCTAAGCCATTCATAACTGCCTTCAGAAGCAAACCACAAGCTAGAGCAACTCTTCTAGCAAAATTGTTTAGTTACAAGCCAGTAACGGGTCTGTCTCATAAGCAGATGGGGCTCTGCAATTTGTATTATTTGAAGTTTCTGGATGGTCTTCAAAGGCAATCCTGTGAAAATTATAGTAAGCTACATGTGAAATGACATGAACAAATCATTAGTGCCCCCTATTGTATAGGATGCACAATTGAATTTGGGCACAGGCCCTACTGGTCATAGCTTCCATCTTCAGGGTCGTGTGTTAAGAGGATCTCCAAACTGTGAAGTTGCTCTCCATAGGGATGCACAATACCAATAATTTATATCTTATGCTTTGGTATTTCTACTTCATTTGTGTGGTTTCTTTTTTTAAAAGGGGGGCTCCTTTTTCTCCCATTAGTACCGTATTTCTTGGTTCAGATTTTTGTTAGTTTGTCTTTAGTCTTTCATTGTTTCTTTCAGTTTATCTTTTATATCTTTTAACAAATATTCATGCTGATGGTATCTTACATTGGATGATCTTTCCCATTGGTTTTATATGATTGTTAAACAAGTTTGGGGGCGAGAACCAAATTTAGAGCACACAATAATGGAAAACATGCAGGCCATACCTCTCCCTCCTCTCATAACTACTAACTGGACCCATTCAGGAAACAGCAGAACTGCTACAAAATGTTCATTACCCCCAGTAAACATTTACTGGGCAGGTCCAAATACTATGGAGGACACTATAAAAACACCTACAAACTTAATTATTTACTAATGAGGGCAGGAACAATATCTGCCGGGATAGACATGTTTTTTTTATGTTTAGTGTTATGAATGGGGGAGGGAGGGAGGGGAATGTATGGTTTTTGTTTGTATGTTTAACAATGTTTTTGTCTTGTGTTGATTATAACTTGAAAAAATAAAATTTATTTTAAAAAAAAACACCTGCAAACTTTAGTGCCTATAGAAGGTGGCCATACTTTCTTCACCCTGTCCTACCATGAATCATTCCTGAAAGCAATCAAAGGAGTTTCAGTGAATTTTGTTTGCCAAAGATTTAAATGAACCATTTCTTCCACAGTTCTAATCCCGTCACCTTCCCATTGAGGACATTAGGTATAGCACAGTACTTGTTAATCTTCTTAGTATTTATTGCATGGTGAACTTGTTCTGCACTGTGCTCACCTATCTGCTAATAATGAAACCGAAGCAGGTCCCTTGAGAAGGGCAGTGCCTCTATTGAGGCTGCTGGCACTTTCCCATTTGTCTGCTGCCTGAACCCATCTCCTTGCTTTCTCCTTATAGGCTATAACTAACCATAAGGAAGGAGTTAGCTTGGGTTCCACAGCCTCAAAAAGGTCCAGATAACAGCAAAAGCTTTATCTCATCAGGTTTTATCCACCTGGCTGCTAATTTAGAGCACATATGAGCAATTTTCTCCATTAAAAAGATTAGCAAAACTCGCATTTTAGATCTTATGGCCCATCTCTCCCAAGAACTTTTTCACATCCCTATAAAATATGTATTAACAAATGGAAAACCTGAAGGAATGTAAATAATTTTGAATGGAAGGCTTTCCGTGGAATGAACATTTTTCTACATTTAATTAAGAACGTTGTTCTTAGGGACATTTTTAGATACCATGTATCTTTTAGTTTCCAGTATGTCTAGCTCTAATTCAGTGAATAAGCTGCTATATTATCAGTTTGGTTTTGCTTTTTATGGGGATAGTTATTTTCTTTGTCTTTCATGACACTTATTTTTGCATAGAAGATTTCTTTGAATTCTGTAATTTTCTTTTTTTAATTTATTAGATTTACAGATACAATCAAAGGAAAACCAAGGGAAAAAATAAAAGGAACAAGAATAGATTTACAGTCATTATAAAATTAATTTAAGAAACTGACATATATTAATCTCATAGTTTTAAATCACTATTAAAATCAGGTTTATTTTTTATTTTTATTTATTTTATTTTTTTATTTATATGCCGCCCTTCTCCTGAGACTCAGGGCGGCTTACAATGCGTTAAGCAATAGCCTTCATACTTTTGTATATTTATACAAAGTCAGCTTATTGCCCCCCACAAACTGGGTTCTCAGGTTATTGTGCCATTAGTAACTGTAATTGGTATGCCTCAAATTTTAATTTATAAACCAGAATAAAAAAATTACAATAATTTCGGCCTAAGAATATTGAATATAGTTAAATACAAAACTTCAGCTGATAAATGCCCAACAATTCAAAACCTTGTGAGTTATAGAGCTACTTGGCATTTGTAAGCAATTATGGAAAACAGCAGTGGCCAAGGGACTGGAAAAGATAAATTCATACTCCAATACCAGAAAAGGGCAGTGGTAAAAAAAATTCCAAACATGAAACACTTGCATTTTCATCATAATGGTCAAGATTTTGACTACTGCAGAATGTGGAACAAAAATTGTCAGATACAGAATTTATGTTCAGAAAACATTTCAGATCACATTGGTAACATGGAAAAAGCAAGATGGTTCTAAAACGGCTAGTTTATTGATTATACAATGGCTTTTGACTGTATAGTCCTTTAAACATGGGTACATCAGACCACTTCATCTTCTCATTAAGGAACGTATGAGATGACCCAAAGGGAAAAAAAAATGAAGCAAAATCTAAAGCATACAGTACATGAATCAAAACTGGGAAAGTTAACTTATATAACTGGGAAAGTTAACTGCATATAACTTATATGCAGAATGTACCATGAGAAATTTAACGAGTTCTACATATTGTGGCTGGTTCAGAGCGCTTATGAAATAAAGCTCAACGATAGATTTAATATCTATGTATTTAAAAAGAGGTTAATACTGGTGGGATATTACTAGTAGGGAATCAGATCGCTACTATTATTGTGGAATAAATACCGCAGCGTGGCTTTTTCTCAAAATACGGAATTCAGCAGCTCTGCTACCTTTCAACTGGACTTCTGTTTTTGAGGGCTGTAGGTTGAATCTCCTTTATTTTAGACAAGTACAGATTTCCTAGTTCTTAACCGGTTTTATTCTGTTTTTTTAGACAGGCTATAAACTTTTTCTAAAAAAAGAGGCCGAGGGCTGTCACAAAAAAAACAATCAACTCTCGCCTCTCCCCCCCCCCCCCCAATTTGAAGGCCTGGTCTTGGAAGTTCCTCGGCCTGCCTCCTTCGGGAAAATCGGTCATCTTGGAGCCGAAAACAGTGTGCTTGAAAACTTGCTTCTGCAACCTCAGCCCGACCAAAGCTTCGTCCTCTCCACATCGTTCTTCGGCGCAGGATACCCGGGACCGCCTGCCCCGGTTCTGTCAGCCTCAACGGTAGCGGTCACCCCGCACCGCAATCTCTCGGGCGGCTCTCCCACGACTCGCGTCGTTGTCTCGGCCGCAGCATGGCCCGGCGGCGGTTCCCAAAGGGGAGAGGAAGGGAATCACCGCGCGGGAGCGGAGTCTCCCCTCAGGTCTCCTCGTCGTAAGCCGCGTCCGCCCCCCCCCCCCCAACTCCCCAGTCTGAGAATCGGGCGCGTTCTCCCTCCTCCATCCGGCTAACCTCGACCAATCGAAAAGATGCGCACGTGATAAGCGTTCCCAACGATGACTTCATCCCTGGTGTGGGATGACGTCAAATTCAAGATGGATGGAATCACGGCGGTGGCGGCGGCGCGCGCGGGTGAATCGTAAAAGGAGACGGCCGAAGGGGGAAGGAAAAGGGGTGCGCGGAAGGTAAGTAAGAGACCCCAGTTGTTGCTCCTTTAAGGTGGGACTCCTCCTGGACAAAGGTTCGGGTTTCCCGTGCACAAAGGCGTCTTTTCCTGACGTAACTCTGAGGTATATTTTTCCCCTACCGAGTAGGGCTGCGGTCTTAAGCTCCTGTGTGCGCCTGCGCCAGTTACAAAACGAGTTCTTACCCCTTCACAGCGCATGCGTGGGTCCTAATAGACGCGTTCACGCAGTGGCATACGTTCACGTCGTTGCTTTTATTAGTTGCCTAGCGCGCATGTCTGTTGCCCATTTTTAGCTCATGGAGGTTTTCTTTTCTGTGTTGCGCCTGCGCCTTGTCCATATACAATAGTGCTAACCGCCTACGCGGTTAGTTTAGGAATAATAATTTGGGTGGGGTATAATTGAGCGCAATGAGCATGCGCCGAAGATGAATGTGCAGTAATGGGCTTTGAATCGTATGATGTCATTTTGGGCAACACATAATTGGGCCAGGCTCGTTCTCCGCGGAGAGGAAGGGTGGGTGCTGATGTGTTAAGTTTCAGGGTTCGTTAATACTTTATGCTTTTTGTTCCTAACAGTGCAACCATTTCTGAGCCCTCAAGTGTTGAAGTTCAGCTCCTAAAATTCCTAGACAGAATAGGAATTATTTATTATTTTTTTATTCATTTATTATGAATAAATAATTATGAAAGCTAAAGGTCAAAATACATTATAATTTGAGAAAGTTGTGTTAGCCAGAGATAACAAAATTTGAATTGGGAGGTCTTGGGATGCAGCCTGTACAAGTACAAGTACTTCCTTTAAACTTGTCTTCTCTAACTAATATTCTCAAGATGCATTTAATTTATACTGTGATGATTGGGAATTATACAAATAATGTCCTTATACATTTTAGAAAAGCATCTGTTTGACCTGTATATGGGCTACTTTTCACATTGCATTTTGCTGAGAAACCACACATGATTAGAAGCACTGCTTTCATTAAAGACTTTCGAAAAGGATGTTTGCCTCCTGGTAAAAATCAGTCTGTAGGGGGTTCTGAATTTCAATACAATACAATACAATGCAATTCTTTATTGGCCAAGTGTGATTGGACACACAAGGAATTTGTCTTTGGTGCATATGCTCTCAGTGTATATAAAAAGAAGATACATTCGTTAAGAATCATAAGGTACAGCACTTAATGATAGTCATAGGATAGAAATAAGCAATCAAATCAAATCATACTAGGAAACATTATAAAAGGTAAGGATATAGCAACAAGTTACAGTCATACAGTCATAAGAGGAAGGAGATGGGTGATAGGAATGATGAGAAGATTAATAATAATGAGTGATATCATGAAGAGCCTGGTGGCGCAGCAGACTAAATTAACATTATTAATATCACGCTGTCTGCAATTACTGTAAGTTCAAATCTCACCAGGCTCAAGGTTGACTCAGCCTTCCATCCTTTCTAAGGTAGGTAAAATGAGGACCCAGATTGTGGGGGCAATAAGATGATTTTATATAAATATACAAAAGTATGAAGGCTATTGCTTAATGCATTGTAAGCCACCCTGAGTCTCCAGAGAAGGGCGACATATAAATCAAATTAAAAAAAAAAAGAGTGATAACTGATTATGTTTTTAGTGTCAGTACTACTAAGAGCTGATTAGTTGCAGCTGAGTGTAAAAAAATTCATATTTATATCATCAGCCAATATGTGTTTCTGTAGAAGCCCACTGGATAAAATATAGAGAAGACAAAATCTATTGCGATTAGTGGGAAGGAGAGGGAGCAGAGAGGTATGGGGGAAATTTGTATTTGAACAGTACAGAGACAGTCATCAATCACAGTAGACCAAGGATAGGAAGTCTGCAACTATAATTTCCACAGTCCCTTGTCACTGATCTTGCTGCCTAGGGATCATCATGAGTTTTGCAGTTCAAATTAACTGGCAGACTTTCAGCTCATACTTTTTTTTATCTGGTCTCCAGCAGCAACCCATTGCACAGAGAAGGCAAATTCGGGAAAATAAGATCCACTACAATAGGGGTGTCAAACTTAATTTCATTGAGGGCTGCATTAGCATTATGGTTGCCTTCAAAGGGCCAGTAGTTGAGTCACCATGACTAGTGGGCGTGGCTGATTGGGCATGGCCTGCTTGACACCTCTCACTAAGCATGGCTGACTCGGGACAGCTGGGTTGGGACAGAATAAGTTGCACTGGTTAACTCAATGTGAGGACAATTCAATGCCTCACAAGCTCCTCACCTTCCCAAACTGCTGGCAGCCACGCATGTGCGCACGCGCACACAATCACACCACATTCTAAGTTTGGGGGCTTCTATCCACAGGGAAAGGAAACAGCCTTCTCCCCAAGCCCAGGCATGATTGGCAGTTTGCAAGCTCAGATATGGATAAAAGTCTTCAAGCTGGGAATGGTGTATGTGTGTGTATGAGTATGTGTATGTTTATGTGTATGTGTATACATAGCACACCAAAGGAGACATTCAATCCAGACATCGTTGGCGTTTCCCTGTCCGGTTCCTCCTTCCAGCAAAGCAGGAGGTGGAGGATGACGCTACTGTGTGTGAAAGCACAGAGGAGAAAGTTTGCAGCAAGCAGTTTCCTCCGAGTCCAACTTCTGCCTTGACAGATCTCTGGAGAGCAAGAGGAGGAGGCAAGGAAGCAGCGTTCCCTGATCCTGCATGAGGGAGGCTGGCCCTTCTCGAAAGGGAATCAATGTTTTTCCAATCATGTATGCTAAGGATACTGGCTTGTTGGGGCAGTCTTCCCTCCCTTCCTCCCTTCCTCTTCCCTTTGGGAAGCGCCACCAGCCCATCCTCCTCTCCAGAGATCTGTGCTTCCATATGCAGCAGCATTGTCCTCCACTTCCTATTGGGGGGAGGGGGGGCAGGCAATGCTGGAAGTGGGGATCGGAGGTCTCTAGTAGAGGAAGACGAGACCAGGGTGAGTGCCAAAGCCTAGTCCACCAGAGGAGCCTCACCATCCCTCTCAGGCCACATGGAGGGCCCCCAGGTGGCAGCAGAGGCCAAGCACCCAGCCCGGCCCTCGAGCTCCCGGGGCACTGGGACCCCACAGCCCAGCCCAGCCCCGCTTATCCAAGGGGGTGCCTAGCTGCTCGAGGCTCCTGTCGCTTTGCTGGCTCTCCTTGGCCAGGTTGCTCATTGTGGATGTGGGAGAGAAAAGTGATGGATTAGAGGGAAGTCCACTGTCTTTCTATGTGAGGAGACCAGGTTTTGTAACCAAAGCATCCTGAGCGATAGAATGGGAGACTACCAGGACAGGACAGGAGGAGGGGGCAAAGGAATGGCGAAAGGGCAGCAGGACTACTGATGGCCAAGTGCTATCAGATGATTCATACCCTGGTCAGTGTCTGTTCGTACTTCTACCATCGGGCAGAAGACATCGAAGCATAGCCAGCCGAACAAATAGGTTTAAAAATAGTTTATCCTTGGGCTGTCAGACTCTTAAAGACAATCACAATTACTCCACGCAGACGTGGAAACGTATGGCTAGTTTTTTTTTTTCTTTCTTTTTCTTTTTTCTTCCTAATTATTTGCATAGGGATTATACTTTATATTATTTATGTTGTTTGTATTTTTTGTCATGGATTGCACCAGTATGGCTAAAACCAATTTCATTGTATACATTATGTACAATGACAATAAAGGCTATACTATACTATACTAAGGCAGGACTTCCCTCAGACCCTTCCTCTCATTCCAATCTGCCTCCTTCCTTCCTTCCTTCCTTCCTTCCTTCCTTCCTTCCTCCCTCCCTCCCTCCCTCTCTCCCTCCCTCCCTTCCTTCCCTACCTCCATCTCTCTCATTCCAATCTCCCTCCCTTTCTCCTTCCTTCTCTCCTTTCCTGCTTTCCTCCTCCTCATTCCCATCTCCTTCATTCCTTCCTTTCCTTCCCTGCCTCCCTTCTCATACCATCTCCCTCCTTCCTCCCTCCTTCCCCTGCCTTCCTTCTCATTCCCATCTCCTTCCTCCCTCCCTCCGGCCCAGAAAGGGATGAGGGGAGGGGGAGAGGTTGGCAGCACTGCTAATGACCGTGCCAATGGTGACTGTGGCTTTCCCATGTGGGGGCGGGGGAAATCCCAGTGAAAGGGAAGCGCTTATGGGCCATGGAGGCACTGGTGGCTTACGCAGCACTGATCTACAACTTTGTGGTAGCCATGTAGGTCGGAACACAGTCAGCCTTAGATCCCCACCCACTGGGCATGCGGATAGGAGGCGGCGAGTATGCAGGACCAGGCATCCCCGATGACTATCTTGCCCCATAGGCTGACCATGTTTTGAGTCCTTCCCTTTCACTGGGATGCCAGGCCCCGAACGTTCGCTGCCTCCTGTCCATGAGCCCACAGTGGGGTGGGCTGAGGCAGCAGGGGCCAGCCACTCGCTGTCTCCAGGGTGGCCCCTTGGGCCAGATCTAACCACATTGCGGGCCAGATGTGGCCCACGGGCCTTGTGTTTGACATGTCTGCACTACAAACTTGAGTTAAATGAGCTCAATTGTCTCCTAATCTGCCTTGCATTTAAGAATATGATCCTACCCTACAATTGCAGTTAGCAATTCTACTTTTAATGCCTCAGTGGCGCTAAGTTGATAGTAAAAATAATTTGAAAACAACATGATACCATTATTTACATATATTAAGCAAAAAAAGTCCAGATGTGTTGGACAATAAACCTCAGATGTTTAATCCAATGCAAAAAAATTGAGAGCTCTTACAGTTTATTTTCAGAGGACCACAATTATCTATCATATTTAGCTAGTCCCAAGGAAAGTTGAGGAGGAATTAGCAAATAAGAAAGAGTTCCAAGATTAAGAGGAAACTCTGTTGGGCAGAGCCGATTCACAGCAGTAATGAAGTCTGTTTGTCAGTGTTGTTTCTTTTAGAAGTACAGATGCAAAATTTGAGTGGGAATTCATACACCTGGCTGGCTCAAACATTAGAAGCTATAGTTGGAAGTGAATCCAATCAGGGTAGTTCTGTTCTGGGATTCACAAACAAGTTCACCTAATTTCAGTGTTCCAGTTAGAACTCCTCAGATGTTGTTTAAATAACATAGACAATCGCTGATTTAGCCCAACTGTCTGTCAAAGGAAAGTCTAAGTGCATACAACCATTTGTGTATGTGCTGAGCCTGAGATTCAAAAGAGCAATTATTTGTAGCAGGTGGGTGAATTATTTCTAATGGGCATGAACTGAGCACTCAGAATACCTAACACATGACTAGGGTTTGTTTACCATTGTATCCAGGGAAAAAAAGCTGACTATAATTTTCTAATTAAATTTGTACAGTATTTTATTTTTTTATTGCTTATTGTGTTCAGTTTGTGTTCTTTTTTATTGATCATGTGCCATCAAGTCAGTTTCATGTCTTAGCAACCACATAGATTCAATTGCAAATCATTTTATATTTTGTATCCTTTGGGGTAGGGGTAGTAAAATACTAGTGTAGATCAAATTGCCTCTGCTCAATGTTCATTGATGCCTTTGTCATTGTCACTACAATGGTCATTTGTCTCCAGCATTTTCCTATATCACTGATGCCCAATATAGGTGCCTTCTTGCTTTAGCTGGACGTGTGAGATGACTTTCATGAAGGGAATATATACATGTACACACATACACACATTTACTTGTCATGCATTCCTGGCTTTCTTTAGGAACATACATATACCCTGCCATTATCAGGCACCGTAGCAGAGTTAAGGGCAAGGAATTGTTAGTGTAATTAATCATAGGAAAATACAATCAAAACATGAAATAAAAATATCAGTTAAGATATTAGATATATTAAGCAGTAAGTAGCAGTTATCAATTTACATTTCTTTGGGCCAAACTGTGATGTTACTTCAAAAGCTTGTCTGACCAAGAACATATTTTTTACAAGAAGAACATCAAATATTGAATTAGTTTGGCTTCTTTAACCAAGAGTTCCAAAATCTAGAAGCAGTCCCTGAAAAGATTCCTTTCAGGTCCTCAGAAATGTACTGTACTGAGGGTAGGACAGAAAAAGGAGACGTTTTTGGAAATTTTTAAATAAATCAGACTCATCTAAGAATGAATCTAATTCCATTGCTTTAAAGAGTTATAAGTTATAACCAACTACTTTGAACTGTTTCCAAAACAGATTGTTTCCTACTGAAATTGCATTCTGAAAAGAGAAGTCCTCAAGAAAACCATTTTTAGTATGGTTATTCTTACATGTTCAAGAAGCAGTAATTACTCAGAAAATTCTTTTGGATGTTAATTTTGTTTTATAATAGACATAATTTCTTTTTTCCCCATAACAGACTACATGATATAAAAACTTCAAAGTCATTGCCAATTAAGGAGTAAATGCAGTCCTGAATCTAAGGTTTCTCTTGTTTGGAAGTGTTTTCAAGAAGAAGAAAAAAGCATTTCTGGTACGTTCTATTTATTTTTAGTAGTATGAATTTAGTATTTCAGTTTGGTATTTCAGTTGTTAAAGAATAAGACCTTTTGCAGATGTAAGAATGAACTATCTTTGAACATTACTGGAGAAAAGCAGTAGTTCCACTTTTCTCTTCCGCATAATTGTGAAGGGAGACTACTTTAAACTATTTAGACTCCCCATTACATCTGAAAATGGGGAAGAGGATTATAACAAATTTGGAGCAGAAAATAGAGACTTGGGGCTATGGTTACAACAGATGAGAAGAAATAGGAAGAATGCTTGTTGCTTACATTCATATAATACTAAACTTGTTCCAGTATTATATCAGGTCAAATGCATTTCTATACATTGTTCCATACTCCTTACATATTGCAACTGAATATGCTCTGTATATCCAATAGAAAAAATCACATGAATCAACTCAGCAATTACAATTAAAGGCAGAAAATAAGATATTAAATAATAAATAAGTATGTTGGATCCCATGTAAACATTTCAGCCAGTGACTAGTGGGAGAATGTTTTTTGAAGGACTGTTTACCAGATCATTATCCAGACAGAGTGATAGTATTTTCACCTTTGATGCAAAATGCAGTTTCTGTATTTTACAGCAAAGAAGGCACTAAGAATTAAGTCTGACAATGCTATAATTGCCCAAATGTGAAATTGGTATACAATTAATTTCTCTAGTATTGAAGCAACTTTGTGTACTTGATTTAGATCACAATATCTACAAAAAGCAGAAGAACTACTAGAAGACAAAGAATCTTACATCCCAGTGAACACTAATGCAACATAAAAACTAGACAATCAGATCAAGAGAACTATCAATGACCTCATTAAGAAAGGCCAAATTACCAAAGATAAACAGTGGCAGATGAGAAGCAGTGGACCCATCCTTTCATGCTTCTACAGATGTCCCAAAATATACAAACCTGACACACCTCTCTGTTCAATCATATCATTAGTGGGGACCCCTACCTACAATATAACAAAAGAATTAACAAAAAAGCTTTGGCACCTCACAAGAGGAAGCAAACATTCCATCAACTTTCCACTACAGTGCCTTCAATCTATCAGAGATGTGACTATAGATGAGGACAAAATCATGGTCTCATTTGATATCACAGCTCTGTTCATGTCCATAGATTCAGAATTAGTCAAAGGATTTATGACAACATTGTTCCACAGCACAGTTGATTTAACCAAATTACATGGAGATTGAAACACCCAGGATTATAGACCTCATAAACCTCTGCCTAACCACATATTCCAATTTGATGGACAAACTTACCAACAAATTAAAGGCACACCTATGGGATCACCACTTTTAGGATTTATAGCAGAAGTCATTATGTAACTCCATGAAGCTATTGCACTTCCACAAATACAACCCAAAATATGGATCACGTATGTAGATGAAATCTCTACCAATAAAAAAAGACTAATTGGAGAACATTCACAGAACCATCAACAACATTTTCAAAGGAATCAAGTTTACCAGAGAAGAAGAAAACAACAAATTGCTGCCCTTGCTGAATATCCTGATCAGCAGAGACCACAACGGCAAATTAGAAACACAAGTGTACAGAAAAACTACCCACACCAACCAAGTGCTCTACTACCAAAGCAATAAATCAACCTCCCATAAGAGAAACTGTGTAAGAACTTTATGTAGATGAACACAAACTCACTGCAGCAACCCTGAACAGCAGAAAAAGGAAACAGAGTATTTATGCAACATATTCCAACAAAATGGATATCCATGCAACTTTATCAAAAAGTGCCTGACCCAATACAGCTCAACCAACACAAGCCCTAAAAAGAGTAACACTGTCATACATCAACAATGTCTCAGAAATCACCAACAGACTACTGCAACCACATGGAATCAACATAGCACACAAGGCAACTAAAGCCCTTCAAAATGTCCTAAATAAATCAAAATGCCCAGCAGCCCCAGAAGAAAAAACAGTTATCGACAACATACAGTATAATGATTATAACAACCACACATAGGACAAACAGGCAGAAGACTGGCAGAATGCATCCATGAACACCAGCTAGCATTCAAAATACATGATGAAAACTCTTTAAGTTCATAACATATGGACAGAATTAACCATAGTCTCAATTGGGAAACTGTGATCATTCTGGACCTGGACTAAGCCAAGTCCAAAAATGATAGGGAATTTTTAGAAGTTTGGCACTCTGACAAGAGACACATAGACATAAACAATATATACTATGCAAAAGAGACAATCAACAAACCAAAAAGGGAACAAAAAACACCTCCCTACCAGCAATTAGCACTTAGATGAGCATAGATTAACTCCAAGATTAACATCATCAACAATTATCTTAGTTCAGATTCAACCCACAATAAGTATATAGTACCCCTTGTTCCACTTTATTAAATTGGGATTATTTCCTTTGCATTTAGAAATAAATAAGAATTCAAAAGAAGGCTTTAAACATTTGACCAGTTTTACTTTCAATTCAGTCTTTATTTTTGTCAGGTTTGACAGAGATGTAGTGAAAAGCTAAAACTTCTATATTTTGTTTGCTAAATATTTAAATTATCTTATATATGCAGATAAAATCAAAGTGGATTTTTTCTTCTTGATTGTGCATTAGGCTGATTGTACATTGTACTACATTATATATATATATATATATTTGTTTTCTGAGGTTTTCGCGGGTGTTTGTATGTAGGTCTTTGGTTATTCGGGTTTTCTCCCGCGTAAAATTGGAGGTGTCTTGGCAACGTTTCGACGAAGTCTCATTCGTCATCTTCAGGCTGGTGTTCTCGGCTTCGTGCTTCTAGGAGCAATGTGTGTGATCGCAGCTGTTTCTTCCTTTTAACTGCCAGTGGGGGTGTGAACTGATTGGGTGGGAGCTTGGCTGTGTTCTGATTGGGTGGAGGTGTGTTCTGATTGGTTGGGGGGTTGGCTGTGCTCTGATTGGATGGGTGTGTGTTCTGTTTAGGTGGGGGCTTGGTTGTGCTCGGGTTAGTCTTGAGTAGCAGAGGGATTTGAGCTGGTGAGCTGTGTTGCTGTTGTTTGGCTTCGTGTTCGTGGCCGTGCCATCTCTTCATGTTGGGTGTCAGTCTGTTTCATGTATGGATTGGAGGGGTTTAAAGTGGCTAATGATGCAGCTGTGGTCAGACTCAAACCCACACTGATGATCAAGCACGACCACGGACCAGAAACCAGACCACAGCTGCATCATTAGCGAAAGACGTTGGCAAGACACTTCCAATTATACGCGGGAGAAAACCCGAATAACCAAAGACATATATATATATAATGTTGATTTAATTGATATAGAATGTTACACATGTTAAAAATCTAAGCAAAATATATTAAGGCCATGTTATGCTTTGGAGATATTATTTTTAAAATGCTCTCTTTTACTTATTTACTTACTCTAAATTATTTTGTGAATGTGAGTCTGTCTTTTTTGTCTTTCAGATAAACTTAATCATGGATGGACTTTTGCATTATATAAATCCCGCACATGCTATTTCTCTTTTAAGTGCTTTAAATGAACAGCGTCTGAAAGGACAACTTTGTGATGTTGTTCTCATAGTAGGAGATCAAAAATTTCGAGCTCATAAAAATGTTCTAGCTGCCAGCAGTGAATACTTCCAGTCTCTCTTCACTAAAAAAGAAAATGAGTCTCAGTCAGTATTTCAACTTGATTTCTGTGAACCAGATACCTTTGATAATGTATTAAACTACATTTATTCATCATCTTTGTTTGTTGAAAAAAGCAGTCTGGCTGGTGTGCAAGAGGTAGGCTACAGTCTTGGAATTTCCTTTCTTACTAACATTGTATCTAGAAGTCCTCAAGTTCCTTTGCCTGCATGTCCGATCAAGAAAATACTATTCCAAGAAGATGATGAAAGTGGCTCCCAGAAAAGAAGTGTCATTGTTTGTCAGAGCAAAAATGAAACACAGGGGGGAAATCTTGGTCAAACCTTCCATGATATAAGCCATAGTTCTAATTTTTTGTCATCAGTTGCTATCAAAACTAAGTGGTCACAACAGTCAACTGAATTTCAACATAGCCTATCACTAAATGAAAAGAGATGGTTGAAAGATAGTTCTTTAAGATACTCAAAGACCCATGAATCTTCAGTTACAATGGATGATCAAAGTAGAATGAAAAGAAATGCAATATTATCACAGAAATCTTTTGTAGAGAAAGAACTGGCAGTTGATGAACTAGGAGAAAGTGATCAACTATTAAGAGGAAAGACAGAGGAAATATCCTTGAAACAGGTTTGTCCACCTGTTGAATCTGTATGCAGTTCATCAGAAGCCACATTTTTGCTGAATGAAAGAAACAAAGGAAGTACTAGTTCAGGTGAAGACAGGAATTTACTATACTATTCAAAATTAGGATTAGTAATCCCATCTAGGATAGCTGGTCCTGAAAACCAAAGTACTGACAGGAGTGGACCACTTGTAAAAAGTCTTCTTCGAAGGTCATTGTCAATGGATAGTCAAGTTCCTATATCTTCACCATCTATTGATTTAAAGCTTTCTCAAGGATCTTCAGTGGGGAACAATGCACAAGGAATAATGTTGAATGTAATATCACGAAAGTCACCCATGAAAGATACTTCAGAAATAGCAGCTTCTGATGATAAGACACAGATAGTGCATCCACATCGTCTCAGATCCTTCAGTGCTTCTCAATCAACAGACAGGGACATGAATTCTCAAGAAGTACAGATTAAAATGGAACCTAGGAGTCCACTTTCAGATCCATCTGAAATTATAAGAATTACAGTGGGAGATACTTTATCATCTATCAACAAAAGTGACTGTTTTAAGACTGAAGATGTCCACAGAGAACTCACTAACTCTTTTAAAGCAGAAGATAGTGAGCTCAATAGACTTCCAGCTAAAAGAAGATTTCAAGCAGATAGAAGGCTACCACTAAAAAAAATGAAGGTAGACCAACATGTTTCCCCAGAGTCAGAGGACAATTTTGAAGAGAATTTGAATCCTGTACCCTTTGTTGATTTCCCAGATTCTGATGTCAGCAGAGATGAATGTGGTGAACTGGAGGAAACAAAACCTAACAAAAAATTTAAGTGCAAACACTGTCTTAAGATTTTCAGGTCAACAGCAGGTCTACATCGTCATGTCAATATGTACCACAATCCAGAGAAACCATATGCTTGTGATATTTGCCATAAGAGATTTCACACAAACTTCAAAGTTTGGACCCATTGCCAGACACAACATGGAATTGTAAAGAACCCCTCGCCTGCTTCTAGTTCACATGCTGTCTTAGATGAAAAATTCCAGAGGAAATTAATTGATATTGTAAGAGAACGGGAAATTAAAAAGGCTTTGATTGTTAAATTAAGACGTGGTAAACCAGGGTTTCAGGGACAAGCTAGTTCACAAGCTCAACAAGTCATCAAAAGGAATCTGAGGTCAAGAAATAGAGGAGCTTACATTTGTACCTACTGTGGGAAAGCATATCGCTTCCTGTCACAGTTTAAACAGCATATAAAAATGCACCCAGGAGAAAAACTGGTTGGAGGAAATAAAACTCTTGTTAAACCAAAAGAAGATAGTCGCATTGAAAACCCGGTGGAAAACAAAAAAGTTTATCAGTGTCGTATTTGTAATGCTAAACTTTCGTCTCTTACTGAACAAGGAAATCATGAGCGGCTATGCCGGAAAGCAACAGTTTGTGCTTACTGCAGTCTTCTGTTTTCTTCTCCAGAACTGAAGCATGACCATGAAGTCACATGTGAATATAAGAAGCTCACTTGCTTAGAGTGTATGCGAACTTTTAAATCCTCCTTCAGTATTTGGCGCCATCAAGTTGAGGTGCACAATCAAAATACTATGGCTCCAACAGAGAATTTTTCTTTACCAGTTTTGGAGCACAATGGTGAAGTAAGTAATGCTTCAAAACCACATTATCAAGCAGAGCCTAACAAAATTGGCAGCTTTCTTGCAGCTAAAGAAGATGGTGTATTTAGTGATTCCTCAGAGCAAATCAATTTTGATTCAGAAGATTCCTCATGCCTTCCTGAAGACCTTAGTGTTTCCAAACAGTTGAAAGTTCAAATCAAAGAAGAACCTGTGGATGATGTAGAAGAGGAGATCTCTGAAAGCAGCCGGGAACCAAAGGAAGGCATTGCTAATAAGGAGACTGGTTTGTGGCCCTGTGAAAAGTGTGGAAAAATTTTCACCGTACACAAGCAGCTAGAGCGTCATCAAGAGCTTTTATGTTCAGTGAAACCCTTTATTTGCCATGTGTGTAATAAGGCTTTCCGAACCAATTTCCGACTGTGGAGTCATTTCCAGTCCCATATGGCACAAACTTCGGAAGAACCTTTGCGAAAAGAACCTGAGATGTGTTCTTCTGCTAATTCTCCTTCACCACCACCTTTGCCTCCACCCCCTCCGCTTCCCAAAATACAGCCTTTGGAACCTGATAGTCCTACCAGCCTGTCAGAAACCCCTTCAGGTAGTGAGAAATTATTTGTTCCACAGAAGTCTGACACACTTTTTTATCATGCACCACCATTGTCAGCTATCACATTCAAAAGACAGTATATGTGCAAACTTTGCCATAGGACATTCAAAACTGCATTTAGTCTTTGGAGCCATGAACAGACACACAATTAAAGAAAACTTTTAAAAGAGTGCCTAAAGAAAGTTTCAAATATCTGTTTAATTTCTGTGATGTTTCTGAAATTCTATCACTGAAAGTAGATTATATATATATATAATATATATATGGCATACACATGCATAGGGTAAAAAAAAAAACTCAAAATTAAACTTGAAATTTGTGATGCTGTGTTTTGGATATAGAAATGAAAGTAAACTAAATTTATCCTTACTAGAGAAAATTGTGCAAACTTTTTGATATTGTGATTTCAGATTTCCTAGTTATAGAATATTTGCATTCATTAAATCTGAGTATATATTTATCATAATGTTATACTGGTAAACACGGATACATGTAAAAAGAATCAGTGACTTAAGTATTTAGAGTACAGCAAAAATTTCATGCTAGTTGTTTTTACAGAAAATAACTCATGAGCTCCATATATTAGTCATTCATTTGATATTAAGGGAAGAAGTGGATTGAGTGCTTTGCTGTTTTGGCCTTGGTCCTGTTGAACATTAGCAATAATGAATAAAACCTCAATTGAATTAACTTGACCCTTATTGAAAAAAGGTTGCTTATCTTGGAATAATTTCATTACTGGAATTTTCTGAATGAATATTGTACAAGATGTAATCAAAGATTAGCAATATGTGAGCATTTGGATTTTTATACATATACAAGTAGTCCTCAAGTTACGATAATAATTGAGCCTAAAATTTCTGTTACTAAGTGAAACATTTGTTAAGTGAATTTTGCCCCATTTTACCAACTTTCTTACCACATTTATTAAGTGAATCACTGCAGCTATTAAGTTAGTGACATGATTAAGTGAAACTGGCTTCCCAATTGACTTAGCTTGTAAAACGATCGCAAAAGGTGATCACATGACCTCAGGATACTGCAGCCATCATAAATATGAGTCATTTGCCAAGGATCTGAATTTTGATCACATGACCATGGGGGATGCTGCAAGAGTTGTAAATGTGAAAAACAGTCATAAGTCACTTCTTTTCAGTACTGCTGTAACTCTGAATGGTAATTAAATGAACTACCTGTACAGTAGGTGTGAACCTTTCTTTGGCTGCCTTAAAAAAGATTCTTAATGTTGGAATACGATACAGTGCTTATCTGATCCTCAGAGGCTGATAGCCTTATATTTTAATACACAGAATTAATGTAAGAAGAAGAAGCAAATTGATATTCCAATGCAAACTATTTCATTTTTGAATGAAATAGCATTTAATAGATATCATAAATTAAATTATTCTTAGCTTCTGATCCATATTGGTGCTTATTTCATTATAGTGAAAAGTATGAATATGAACATTTTAAAAATGAGAAAATTCATTTCCATTACTGAGTAATAGGGTGCCCAGCCAAGGCTGCAAAAAAGTGTTTGGAAAAAAAGTTCAAATGTAAATAATTATGTATGTATAAATGAAAAATGAATAGAAAATTTATATTAACTATGCTTAGGTAAAAGTGCAGGAAGAAATGCAACACCCAAAAGCAATGTATTTCATAAATGAAAATCCACAATGAACTTTTCTATCCAGTATCCTACTTTCAGCACCTTTTTGTTTTGTTTATTTAAGATTAAAGTGATTAGAATATTGAGCCATAATCTAATGCAAATTTAAGCCCACCGATTTTCCTTGGCCAAAATGCCTGTGTACATTCAGCGATAATTAAAATAGTGTTTCCAGATGTGGTGCTCTTCAATTTCATAATTCCCCACCAAATATGGCCAGTTTAGAAACTTTTCAAGCAGTTCATTTTAATGCATGTTTTATTTATTCACATAGACATCTGCACTCATGCACATGTACAGTTGCAGCATAAACAACTTTCCCAAACATGCATGTGTATTCATCAGTAGTAATACAACATCCTTACATAAGAATTCTTGTTCATTGATTTCTTCTTTTGGTATAATACAACCATTGTAGTAGACAAGCTTCCTATATCAGTTGACCTACAATTAAAATGGACTGATACAGTATGATGATGAGTTGTAGCATCCATATATGACTAAGTAGAATAATTAATACAGAATTCTGCCAAGCAATTGGAGTTCTATTTCCTGCTGAAAAATTAACATATAGCCCTGGTTTATTTTAAGTTTGATCTAGTGTCCATATATTAGAATGAATGATAAGAATGTGAGTGCTGTAGATGCATCAACTGACATTTTAGATCGTGATGTAAGAATTTTTTTGGAGCTAGAGTAATCACAAGATTCATTTATTTTATGCTATTTAAAAACATAAAGGGAAACTTGTTGAGTTTCTAGAACAAAAAAGAACAATAGGACACTAATACTAGAATCTAATAGAAATGAAATATGAGCAGTAAATAAAATGTCATTGTCAGTCATGTTATTAGAGCAACTTAAAATTACAATATTTTTTAAAGTTAAAAATCAGATCTATAAAATACATGTGACCTAGTGAGCTCCGTGTAATGCTTATTGGGGTTTTAAAATTTTATTTTCTATAGTCGGCTGATCAAAAGTTGCTGTAGGAAATATGGGTTGTCATATCACTTTTTGATCAAACATGGTAAGTTCTTGAGTGTCCATGATCCAAATATTAAACAATTTAAGAAAGGCAGAAATAAGTTTCACAAGAAAGCTGTATAGCAAATTTTGAGGCCCTTGCATCCAGCTTCTGGTGAAATCATACTTTATTGTGGGAATTGTAAGATATTTCTGGACATCAACAGTTGCTTGGAGCAGTTACTACATTATCGCTGTTGACGTTCTTTTGTACCTGGGCTTTATTGATAATCACTTGTCTATGCTGATAATTGAGAAGTTTAACCAAGTTTGCATGGTATGTTATCCATACTTAAATGAACTGAGTTCCCAAAATCATATGAGTAAGTTCTTTCACCACAATTGGCTACAATGTAGTTAGTGAGTGGATCAGAGAAAGGCATCTCCAAAACACACGCTATTACAAGAAAGCTATACGATTATATCCACCTGACCACCAAATTCTCCCCAAGATAATTACTCTTCAGTGACTAGTGTGTTGTGAGAAGAAAGCTTTTGTGAATCCTAACTAATGTGATGGACACATTTTTCTCAACCAAAAGTCATTCTTGACCTTTCAGTGGCATGATGGAGGCTATATTCCACGAAGTATTTATGAGGTCTGGGGAAAAAAACTAGATTTTATATTTAATTATATTAAATGTGTTGAAATGATTATTATCCGGGCGTTTATTTTTTTCTATTTTCATAAAAATCAATTTCCTTTTGCCCTGCTGTCAGATAAAGAATTACAATTTAACAAAAGTATTTGAATACAGTAATTTTTGGGGTCTGCATATAAGGCTTTCAGACACCATTTGTAACTGGGCTCTCAGGTTGTGAGCCTATGAAGTTTAATAAAGTTCTTTCAGAAAGATTTATTCAGAAGCAATCTTTATATTATTAAAGAAATTTAGAAATAATTGTCAGAATTAGTTTTGATCAGGCTTTTGTATAGTCTTTTCTTTTTTAAAAAAGAGGGAAACATCTGACTAATTTCCTCAAGCTATAAGGAAAAAGCAATAATTTAACAGCAAAGTTTACAAATAAATTATCATCTTATTCCCAAACTAAACCATGTACTTTATTTTTATTTTAAATATATAAATGAATGTATAAAAAGCTAATATCTTCAGAACAAGGTTCATACTCACGCAGTTTCTGAACAATGACATTTTTAACTTCAGAATAAAGAACTCTTGATAATTTAAAAAAGTGAATTTACATTCTTCTGCTTATTTAAACTAAATGCAGCCTTTGCTATTTTTATGGCAAACATTGCATACCTAAACTAGACTCTCACAGAATATTTTCTCAGTTCCGCATTTCTCCTGTCATCCCATTATAGTGCCTGCATGGAAAACTTAACATGAACCAGGGATTTAGTCAACCATTTTTTCCATCTATTGCATTACAACAAATATATGCGCTTTTGCCTCTTTCGCTTTGGAGTTAGATATTAACATAGTTTTTCAGAGTTTGTTACTATGTGCTTGAAGGTAGCTGTTGCTACTCCTATATGGGGGGGAATATGTGAACCAGCTCTGATGATCTCTACTGCCTATACACAAGATTTGCTCATCATTCCCATTACCATAGCACTTACTTTGATTTCTTTTAAAATGTGCACAACACTTTTGAATTACACTTAAACCAGTAACACAAAGGTTGACTTTTATAGATTAGAATTCTCATTTCTTTCAACCACTTAACTATATTTTATTTTAGTAGGGCTTCTGTTAGAAAACCTCCAACTATTGAATGTGTAGCTATCAACTCTGCCAAACAAGCTCCCCCTGCCATTATGTCTAGATTTAGTAGAAACTCTTCTACTAAGTCTTATTTAATAAATATATATTGCTTGTAATAAAAGAAAAATCAACATACATTTTATTTATAACAGTATCATGATTTTTTTCTATTATACAAACAATAAAGACATCAATTTATTGCTCAGATCTACATTTTATTAAATATAGTTCATACATTCTAATTTAGAGCTTAACATGAGATAAAGATTCAAAGTCAAAAATATCACTAAAATATCAATATGCATAGGAGGATACATGTAACTATTTTAGTTATACGTATCTAGTTTAATTACTATTTGCAAATTCATACCATATTTGCAAAAATGACACTTGAAATTAAAGTTCATTAAATAACTGGAATTCTACCCTAGCAAAGATTTATCATTATCTACATATGAATGTAGATCCTAAACAATAAAATTTAAATATTTTATTTAAAACAAGCGCTGTGCTAAACCCTGTTCAAAAATTAATCTTTCTAAAAAGGTATGAAATAAGAGGAAAATTCTAAAAAGAATAATTCTAAACTTGCATGCCTAAATAGCAAATACATATGAACATTGTAGCATTTTAACAAAAAACTTGGTTTTTTTTTTTATAAAGTGGAATGGATAACAGTAGCCCAATTGGTTCAGAAACATCTTCAGTTATTTAATTGTGGATACCGGATACTTCAAGTAGCATTTGGTTTAGTGAAAGGTAGCTTTTTATCATCTTTCAATAATGCATATTGAAAACCATATCCCATTTTTCTAAAGGTGCACCTGCTTCTCCCATCTTTCCTAATTATAGCAGCAATGTTCAAATTTTTGTAGGAGAAAGCACTTCTGCCTCTGGCACTGTAAAATAGCTGAATGTATCCAGTAATCCTCATAAAAACACAACCGCCATTGAGCTCAGCAAATCCTAATAAATCCTACCTGCCAATACAGTCAAACAGCCAGTATTTTTTATTGTGAACTACATCACACCCTTTTAATTGTTAAGATTTCATCATAAGATCTTGTTTTGTTTTCTTTGAATGATGTATCTCTTGGATTATATGTAGGCAGAAATAGAGGGGGGAGATGTTAGTGGTTGTTCTGCAGTCATATGTAATTAAATTGAATTTTGAAATTACAAGATATACCAAACCAAGTCCTTTAGAAGCTACCATAGGCAATATGGTCATAAATTGATAGTCAGCTATTAATCTTTAATTAAAATTAATTTAGCCTTAATCTTTTAGCTTGTGCTTATTGTGTTAAAAGAATACTGTTTACATTTTATTGCCTGAATGTTGGATACAATTAAAGCACACTAATTTTCTTCCTCCTGCAATGGCAATTATCTAATCAGTATTAAAACCAAATATATTGCTGACCACAAATGCAACAGGGAGTCATTTTTAAAACCAAATATGTTGCTGACCACAAATGCAACAGGGAGTCATTTTTAATAGAATAGCTGGGTTAGCTTATGTTTCCCAATAATAAAGGAAGATGAACACTCCATAAGGTTCTAAATTTATTAATACTTCATATACTGAAAAAGATATCTAAAATTTTACTTTCCAAGGTTGAATAAAGTTATTTTACTTTTTTTAAAAAAGCCATTGAATTCAGTAGATCCAAATAGTACCCTATTCACAGTTTTAGCACTTGCATGGTAAGCTGTTGAGATATTAAAATTTCCAGATTTTTTTATAGTTCTTGTATAAGAATTGTGTGGAATGCATGAAGTTTGTATTTCTGATGAGGGTTTTTTTAAAAGAACTTTACTCTTTATTGTCCTTAGATGATTACACATACAACCAGTTTCATTTTAAGTGTCTGTAAAGTGATTCTGTATAGCTAATAGATGAAATTTAAATGCTTGGCAAAAATAGATTTTTTTAAAAAAATGAGAAAAGGCCTACTTTTTTATGATATTGCTGTCTAATTTTGGGGACTGCATTAGAAAAGCACGTGGAGTAATCATGTCCAAGAAATAACCAGGAATATATTTAATTTCTATTGAGTTTTTTCTGGTTTTAAAGTAAAGATATGTAACATAAATCTGTTGTTATAATTATGTATATCTTGTATACATTAGTTTACTATCTATGTTAATTTTAAAGTAGAAATCTAACTTTTTTAGAATTGAAAATTCCTAATTTCAAATTCTTTTAATGTACTGTTGCTGTTTTGTATTACTTTTCTACTGTGTTTTAATTATATAGTTCTTTATTAAGAAAATATGGAGTAAAATAAACTTGTTCTAGAGAGTGATTCTGTCTCATATTAAATATCATAGCAATATTCCAGTTCTTAATAACAAAATAAAATTCTTGTTATGTAAGTGTGACTGTCTACAGATCAGGATCTTATATCATCATCACTCCTGATTTGCTCTACCATGGAATTAACATACCATAATGAGAGATAAAGAAATAATTTATAAACCACAATGGCTGGTTTCATGTAAGATGTTATACCAAAATCACTAAACAGCATTATGTTGTGGTGTCATAAAATGTCACCCTGTCCATGGCATGTTTACTTGGGATAAAAACTGCAGAATAACAATTATACACTGCTCAAAAATATAAAGGGAACACAAAACTACTGTATGTAACGAACAAAGTATTTAATAAGGCTATTTCATTCATTCAGATCTCGGATGTCCTCTGCTTGTGTTCCCTTTATATTTTTGAGCAGTATATTTTATTCAGGCTGCTCAGATGTAAACCCTAAAGCAGGAGTGTCAAACTCAAGGCCCAGGTTCCGGATCCGGCCTATGGGGCGCTTAGATCTGGCCCGCGGGGCCACCCTGGAAACAGTAAAGGACTGGCCCAAAATGCCTCTGCCAGTAAAAATGGAGCTCGCGAGGGCTGCGGGCGGCTCTCCCAAGCTCTGTTTTCACTGGCAGAGGGTTGCAGGAGGCCATCGCAGCTCGGGAGCTCGTTTTCTCTGGCAGAGCACTCAGGTCACCACAGGCACTCCTGATACGAATGACGTTGAGCTGGCCAGGCCATCCCTGGCCATGCCCACTCTGACATTCCCCCCCATCCCCGAGAGCAAACACAACCCTAGCCTCAATGAAATAGAGTTTGACAGCCTTGCCCTAGAGAGTTCAGTTAAGCATACTCACAGATAACTATTAGGCTTCATCCCCCATACATAAATGGAGGATTGAAACTTAAAGACTATAAACCATGCACATTTACCTAAATATATCCTACTAAATCTTTTTTCAATTAAATACAGAATCGGAGGATACTTAGCAATTTTTCACATAACCTTAAGTGATAGCTAAATGAGAAAGTAGCACATATAAATTATACCCTTCCAAATAGTTCTTCATAATCACACTACATATTGTTCTTCTACTACTCTTTTGGATTATCAAAGTTATATGATCTGGCATGAGAATCTGAAAGTGATTGCTCAAACTTCAGTTCTCCAACATTTAGCAGTGACTTGACTGCCATCTACTGGCTAATAGTTCAACAAATCAATAATTTAGGATAAGTTATTTAAACATATATCACCATTTCTGATAAGCAATAACTAGAATTTGAAAGCAACAATTAATAATGGTTTCAATTTAGGCTGGTGCTAAGCAGAAATGGTGATTCTGTATTCAGAAAATAGGAAAACTACCAACCATGGTTATGGAATCATGCAGGATAAAAGTAAGGTGTTACAGAAATTTCCATGAATCATCCAGAAAGGCTTAGCATTATTTTATAAATGTAGTCTAGATTCTCTCTCTCTCTCTCTCTCTCTCTCTCTCTCTCTCTCTCTCTCTCTCTCCCTCCCTCCCTCCCTCCCTCCTCCCTCCCTCCCTCTCTAATCTGTATTGTGTGTGGGGTGGGGGGCTGTTTATAAAATAAAGTCAAAAAGTTTTGGTCCCAGGCTCTGGAAAGTTGTGAACTTTTATTGCTCTCGCACTCAACAGGGAGGAGAACTGTCATGCTGGCCTGGAAAGGAAGCTCAGATCCTGAAGATCTGATCTTCCTTTCTCTGGCCTAGCATACCAATCCCCTTCTGTGGTGGGCTGGAAAAATGAAACTTGGATCTTTGGAATCCAAACTTCCTTGGAAGAAGCTTGGATCTTCTTTTCTCTGGCCCTGTGTTCCAGTTCTCTTCCTCACAGAGGGGAGGGGAACACCTGCAATAGGCTGAAGAAACAAAACTCGAATTCTAAAGATCCAACTTCAGTTTATCCAGCCCAACAGAGTAATTCCCTTCTGCACGTGGAGAGAACTACCTGCCCTCTTTCAGCAGGCAGATCTTTCACTCCATCCATTTAATGTGGTTGCTAGCGTCTGTATCTTGGAGGGCTGGGATAGCAGTCGTTGAGTGAGGTGGGCACCTCTCTTAATAACCAAAACAATTTACAATCCAAATTCCAGACCCAATTGTGGTCTTAAATCAAGGATTACCTGTGGTCTGACTTCTGTTGAAGGGAATATGCAATCAATTGAACTTTTAAAAAAGTTTTCAAAGTGCTCCAAATAGGCTTCCAGGGACAGACTGGAAATGGTTCTGCAAAAAGTGGAGCCAATGTTTCTGGCTAAGAACAGAGAACCAACAAGTAGATTGGCTTCTTCAACACTCTGGGTAAAAAGAGGATGTAAGATCACCCAAGCTGTGCTCCACAGTTACTTCTTACAAGAAGACTGTAAAGCAGCCATCTCCAGAAGCAAGGGAATTTGCCATATTTGCTCAGCTGCAAATCAAGCCAGAAGGAAGGAAGGAAGGAAGGAAGGAAGGAAGGAAGGAAGGAAGGAAGGAAGAAAGAAAAAAACAAATTCACACTTTTTTGACTGATCACTTTCAGAAATTGCCTATTAATTGCTCTAAAAAAGTTAGATACCTTCAGAAATGTCAAGGCTGAAAACACTGGGTGCCTTCTATCCTTAATATAAGAACATTTAAAAAATTGTAAACTTTGAGAATTTTAATAAATAGAAAATGGAAAATAATTTGACTACAGAAAGTTTAAAATGGGTTAAGGGCTCGGAAAACATTGGATTTTGAATATTAAGACTGTGAAATTAATTTTAAACAATAAATGCATTTTTGTGGGAAAGAAAAACTGTTTTTGATATTGGAGACATAGCAAGGAATTTATGATGGCGTTCAGAATCATTTTTGAGGAACTGCATTAGGATGCTGAATCAATGTCAGCTGTGTTGTGTCTTCTTGGGAACCGTTTGTTTCCAGAAGAAGAGGCTATAGAAAAATATATGCAAGAAAGTCTATCTGAGAATAATATGAACAAGAATTTGAATAAGAATTTGTCACTAGACATAAAATTTGTCTAATGACAAACAAAGCTGGGACAGGTTATTTTGGATGGTTCTTTTCAAATTTGCTGACATCTGGACTGGAAAAATATTCTGCATTGGGTTTGCTTACAGTTAACAAAGTGTTTAAGCCTTCTTCCCTGGAGTTTCAGTATCTGTCCTAATCTGAGAGCATTTAAAATGGCTTTGTTTCAAACTGTCCTTTCATTTAAAGTAAGCAATATTTGTGAGCTTGTTCTCTTTAAGGGAGAAATTGTCCCTCTTTGCTTTTGTTCATAATAGGATACCTGAACCACTTTATGCCTTCAAAATGTGCATTTGCTTACAATTAAGAATCAAGATGTGGAATGCTGAGTTCTAGATCTGTTAATCAATGTAATCAATCTATGTTTGGGCTCTGTTTGGACTTTTTGCTGATACCTGGACTGGAGAAGATGTTTCTTATTGGATTTGCCTAAAGTTAAGGATGAGTTATGGGATGAAGAGTTTTATATCTGTTAATTAAAAGGAGATGAAGAGACTACTTGCTTTCTTGGGTTTTTTTTTTCTCTTTTTTTTTCTTGTTTTCTTGCATCCTTTTCTTTATTTTTTAATTTTTTATTATTGTAAATACAGCATTTAATAAAATTATTTAAAAAGTACTCCAAACAGAGATCAAAGTCATGTTTTACTTAAATTAAGTTCCAAGCTATGTACTCTCTTAATGCAATCTTCTGAAATTGGGTAACCTCCAGATGTGCTAGGAATGTTGGCTGCGATGCTGGCTGCAAATTCTGGAAATATTTTCCACACATCTGAAGATTACAAGTCCCGAAAATGACACTGGACTAGTTTCCATCAAGGTTACATTTATGTTAGAAATGTTATGCACTACATTACATTGATAAAAACATTGCTTTGAAATGTGACATGTATTATTTAAGAACAAATCTGTTAAGTAAATCTTCTGGCTATTAAATCTTTCCTATGGATTCAAAAGTTAGAACTCTAATTTCTCTATTTGTTGGGTTTATTGAGTAAGATAAGACAATCAAAACAATACTGGAAAGTGCCAACACTTACAATTTACAAGCAAAAATAGGCAGCCTATTGTTCTTTTGAAAGTATAAATACATAAATCATTTCTGCACAATCATTCCAATTGTGCACTGCCCAGAGTCACTTTTGGTGAAATGGGAAGCTATACAAATTTTATTACTAAAATAAATAAATTTCTAAACTAAACCGTCTTGAACTCAAATTGTCCTCTCTTGTGTTGCATGCAAAACAGCTGTGTTGAATCAAGACAAATTATTTCAGTCATTTTGGAGCTGGTTTGAACTCAAGATACACCTGAACTGAGCAAAACAACTGTTTTGAACTTGCAATAGAGCTTGTTTTAATTAGAAATTATTTAAATTCAAAATATGTTATACAACACTATGTTGGAAGGAAAATCCATCTGGTTCAGTTCCAAACTGGAAGAAAGATGCTGGAAATGAAATGGAGGCTGATTGGAAAGAAGGTCCATTTATGAACAGGGCACCAGGGTTTGTGGTTCTGGGGCAGCTGACCAAATGGTTGAATGCGTGGATGGAACTTTATAGGTTTCTGTGACTTTGAAATTTGAACTGTTCTGGGGGTTGTGCAATGAAGGGGCTTACGTTCTGAAAGGATGTTGGGCAATTCCTATTGTAGCTAATGGCTTTCCTCCTGTGTTGGATCTTGGGTGAGGGGCTGCTTGTTCTAATCCTACCATTCTGCTTTCGTTAGCTGTCAAACTTTCCTGTCTTGAATGGGCTTCTGCTGGCAGTGTTTGCTTTGCTTATGAATGGAGCCATCTAGATAATTGGCTTCGTCTTTCAATAAGCTTTTTATCTCCTTAAGTGTTGGCATCTGCTGTGGGCTATTAAGAAAGACTGGGGGCTGCTTTCTGCCTCTAAAAACATATTTCTGCTTTAGGGAAATATAATATTCTGCCTTTTTTAAATAT